ACACTCGAATAAATAAAAATATTTCTAAAGAATCTCTTCATCCACACCCCTACGGAAAAAAGAAACAACCGACGAGCTTTTTTCCAAAAGTAAAGCTACGCCTTTCAAGGAAACCAACAAGAATGGAAGTATGTGAAATCAAAAACCAACTCTAAGCACCAAGAGTGAGGTTACGTGAAAGGAAATTTCAACCAAAAAAATTAACCTGCAAAAAATGGAGAAAAAAGAAAGGAAGGAAAATGACCGGGTCATTACATATGTGCACATTACCTTATATATTATTTTTTGTATAACTTTTTTCACTGTATATTACTTCCCTCTAGCATTTCCAAGCATTGTATCTCTCTATATTTCTTTCTTTTACATGGAATCTTCAACCTTAGAAAACCATTCTTACTCGTACGGAAGAGTTTTGAAAGAATGTTATTGCCATTGTTAAGTTAAAAGTCCTTTGAAGATTTGAAATACAAAAAGAAATTCGGATAGAATGTTTAATGGTTGTGCAAGAATGTGTTGTGGTTCGTTTGACATTTTTCACTTTGACTTCTTAACCTATATTATATTTCTCAAGATAGTGATGTGAATCTGTTATTTGAGTTCCTGTATTGTCTGCTTGTATTTTAGTTTCTGGAGGAAATCTGTTCATGTAATATTGCATTTAACTTTAATGTTTCAACCCTATGAATGATTTTTTTTTTTCCCCAAAAGGTCATATGAATAAATATTTGTCATCACTAAACATTCGACAACCTGTCATTCATCAAACCATTCAATGAGTGTAAACCCAATTTCACCTTCAGCAAATGGAATTATGTTCATATACCTACATTTCTCCAACATTCTCAAACTTTGTTTTTTAAGATATAAATGACTAGATATTGGACTTTTTTTTATTGCTGACTCCTATTTAAGGGTGGCAAATTATGACACGACAATACGGCACGAACACAATACGAGTTAAAAAGGTTTGGATTTGGCGTAAATGGGTTTGGGTCATAAAAGGGTTGACACGATTAACCCGTTTACTTAACCGTGTCGGGTTAGGTTTGATGGGTTCAACCTGTGTAACCCATTTATGACCCATTTAACTTAACATGTTATAATTGTGAATATGACTTATGTAATATGTTACATGTTTAAACTTAATTAAGTTAAGGCATTTCAACATAAACCTTTTCTATGACTTATGATTTTGCCTTTTATTTTGAATATTTGGGTTAATTATGACAATTTTTTTCTATTATTCAGTATTTTATTAAATATTAAATGTCTCGTTTTGATAAACAGGTCATTAAACGGGCTGGGTTAGTGTTGAGAATTCTTGACATGATTATTAAATGGGTTGGGTTCAAATTTACCTATTTAGTATAATACTTATATATCGACACGACACGACATGAACACGAATTGCCACCCCTACTCCTATTGTTGGCTAACTTAAATGATACATTGTGCCAAAAAAAAAAAACTTAAGTAATACATTTGGTTGATCAAACTAACTTGTTTGGAGGGAAATTTAGTAACACATTAAGTTTATATTTTCAAATAATAAGAATTTTTTTTTTTTTTTTTTTTTTAAATACAATCTTTTTTCTTAACTATTACGACAACTCTTTCTATCAATATAAGCCTCGTGTTTGAGTTTCCAAACATGATGTGCCTATAGATTATAGTGCTCTTTAAGGTTACAAACGAACTAATTTTTCAATGAACAAATAGTTTGAACTCAGCTTGTTAAGAGCTTGGTTCGTGTGTTCGTTTGTTTAGTAGATCGACCAAGCTTAAACATTTTTTTAAGATATACCCTCTAATTTCGGAACACGGATTGATCAAGTCCGCGCACAAAATCAAGGAATATCAGCCAATCAATAATAAGCAAGCATGAAATACAAAATGAATAATAATAAAATAAATAAATATCGCTGAAAGAGAAACTTAAAATAATAAATTTGCTGACACTGTAATCTTCAATAAATTCACATTAAAAGAATAAAATCTCAAGAGGACAATTCGGGAATCTATGCTATTTGAACCCCTAATAAAAATTCCAAACTAAAAAATAAAAAATGAATATCTATCAGAGAAATAATAAAAACATAAAGTGGAGTTTTTATTAAACAAGCAAAGTTCAAGTATCTTTCTATTCGACTCCTTTCTCCATAAAAACACTCGTATCTCGTTTTAGGCTAGTTAAAATATAGAGTCTATACATATGGACAAATTATGAAAAATATGTATTCAGCACGCGTACACAAAACCCAAAGCTCTAGTCTCTTAAACCCAACCCAATCAATTTGATCCCTTTTTTTAAAAATAAAACCCAATATAGTGAAGCCCATAAGATATAAAATAAAAAATAAAAATAAAAAATCAACCTACCGTAATAAACAAAAAAATCACTTCTTAATATTATTTCATAAAATAAATAATTTAAAAAATTAAACGAAAAAATTAAATCATCTCCATTAACAAGGCATGTCTCCAATTTTTTTTTCTTTCAAATGGCATGTCTCCAATTCAGCAGCTCATAATATGAACCAAAACACCACAACAAAAAGTCAATCATCCAATCTATATAAAATTACTGAAAAAATAAAAAACAAACAAAACCCAAGCATGAACCTCAGACAGACTGATAGCAACCCAATTCCTCTTTGGGGAACTCATTTAGTTTTTAATATTCATCTTATATACTTATAACTAAATGAAACTAAAACTCTCTAAGAAAAATATAAAAAAATAAATAAAAGCAAAACAACTTTAGGAAAATTTTTAAAAATATAGAACTAAGATTATGTCAATATAATCTTAAGAGGGAGTTGTGATGGACAAAGGCAACTAGAGTGAAAATTTGTGACAGTGACTGAGGGTGATGAATTTGAAGACCCAAAAATTAGTGGGGGGAGAGTTGATATATTTGTATGGTGAGGGCATTTTTATAACTTAACCAAAATTATAGGTAAGAATTGTAATTAAAAAAAAATTGGTATGGAGTGGGGCTTATCTAAATTATATATATATATATATAACTTTTAAAATATATATATATATATATATATATATATATATATATATATATATATAGGGCAAATATAATGTCCATTTATTAAAAATTCATATTAGGGTTAATTACAACGGCACTCCCTGAGGTTTGACATAATAACAGCTGTATATAAGTTGGGCTATTTTTGAACAATGACACCCCTCAAGTTTAATAAAATTAACAAAGACATCCCAATGGTCCTTAGACATAGTGAATTGACATTACTACCCTTTGACACATTCAATTACCAATTTATCCAATATAATTATTTTTTGTTGACCAAAATACCCTAAATAAACCTACACCCACCACACCCACCTCGAGCTGTTGACACCGACTGCTACTAATTAATTGAACCCTTGAAAAACTTACTCAAATCCAGCCAATTGACATGAAAAACCAAAACCCACTCAATTGAACCCAGGAAAAAACCCACAAAAAATCCGAATTGAACCCACCATTACCATCGCCGCTACTGTTGGTTTCCGTCAACGACTCTTGAGATCGCATCCAACTCTCACGAGTCAGCCATTGAACTCGGTTGACGAAACCTCGAGTTTCCAGTGGTTCGAGACGACCCGATGAAGCTTCTTCTCTTCAACAACGGTGGCGATTGAGATGTCCTTAACGCGTTGACGCTTCGGATTGGGGAGCTAATTGGCGATTCCCTGAGACAACTCGCTGTTGCGGACGTCGGCCGGTAAATTACTCACCATCGCGGTTCTGCCGGAGAAGGAATATGGGTCTGTGTGCCAAAGAAAGATATCTCAAACAAGTCTCGACCATTCCCGGAGCTACAGTCCACCTTCCTTGAATTGATCAACCTCCTTCTCTAACCTATAACACTTTAGGGGCATCTTCTTCACCAAAAAAAACTTTGATTTCACCTAGGGTTTGTGGAATTTTGTGAAACAAGTGGGACTGATTTGATCTTCACCAGACGGTGGAGCTTGGGGTTTTTGCAGTGGCGACGAAGACCCACCCTTCTTATTCAATGACGACAACGAGCCCGAAGACCCACCACCGGTAATTAAATTACGAATGACGAAGACCACTTCTATGATCTAGGAGTAGCAATCGTGAATCCATGTTATAGTTCTAGCACCACAATTTTTACAGCATCTGTTTGTGGCCGCAATTTTGACTGCTAGAGAGATAGATTGGGTTGAAGATGGAGAGGAGGAATAGATGTTTGTGGTTCAAGGAATCAATGTGCAGAGAGAGGACGAGATGTCAGAACATAGTTGTGAAGTAAGAAATTTTGATAAGCTTGTTGTTGGTGGGTTTATATGCTTACAATATATATATATATATATATATATATATATATGATCGATTTTCTATGTTGGTTTCTTTGGTTGTGTACTTTGTGTATATTGTATGCCTATATATATCAAATTTCTTTGGGTCTTGCAATAATAGGTTTCTAAATTTTGGGTTGTAATAATGGATTTCTTTGTGGTTATGGAATGGTGGTGGCTGCAATGAGTGCCTAATGGTGGCGATACGGCTGCTCTCTTTTCCCCTCGGCTCTCCCAATAATGTATATATACGGGCAATAGTGAATATATATAAGGGCAAATTTGACTTTTCATCAGTTCTGATATTTTACAATAAAAATGAATTAAATATTGAAGGGTAATCTGGTCTTTTCTAACGTTTTAAGGGCTTGTTTGTATTAAAATTATCACAAAGGTCTCTCTGTCCAAAAAAACCACTAAGTTATATATGCTTGTCAATACATCAAACCTCAAGATTGTCATTATAATTAATCCTTCATATTAAATAGTGCAGTATATCACTTATTTATACACACTCCAACCTCCAATAAAATTCTAGACAAATTCAACTTGTAACGCTAGCCCGTAAAGGTTCATAACCGTGCCACAAGGGGTGGTACAAATTGCCTTCGACTCGTGTCTGTGTATCTATCTAACGCTAGGCCGCTGTACACAAACCTTTCTCGTAGAAAGAAATTAAACAAATCAAATATTCCCGCCCTAATTCGTTATATTATTATACGGAGTAGATCATTTCTACGCGAAAGGTTAGCTGATGAGCTTCACTCTGTCGTCGCGAGGGAGCTATTTTCTTCGTACACATCGATTAGATTAGGGTTTGACAAGAAGACCACCAGTTCATCGGGAACCGATGGCGGCGTTGACGTGACAACTCCTGATTAGAGAAAGCTACCGATGAAGAGCAGGCATTAAAATAGGTAAGATCTTTTCTATTTGATCGTAAAGCCCAATTTATTGGATTCATACAAACCCTAAAAAGAAGCAAAAAATGTCGGAACTTCCGGTGGATATAATCGCTGACATACTATCAAGATTACCGGTAAAACCCTCAGATGCGTATGGAAATCTTGGTGTGGTCTGATCGACAGCCCACATTTCATCAGATCGCATCTAAATCGATCCATCGAAACCAACACCAACCTGAGCCTCATTGTCACAGGAGTGGACCCAGCATCATTCTTGGTGTACTCTATAGACTTGGACTCTCTCGATTATGATCATATGCTAGAGCTTGACCACCCATTGAAGAATGATGGGGGAGAGACCGAAGTGATTGGTTCTTGTGATGACTTACTCTGTTTGTTTAATTTACACCAAAACCACAAAAAGGTTGCTTTATGGAATCCTTCGACCAGAAAACACCATAAGTTACCAGCAAACCCGATTGCGTTCCCAGACATAGGTCGCAACCGTCTCACTATCGCATACGGGTTTGGGTATGATCGTGTCAGTGATGACTACAAGGTGGTGAGAATGATAGAGTCTCTTCGCGAAGATCTTGATTCATTTGACTGTGAAGTTTTGGTCTACAATCTGAAGTTGAATTCTTGGCGAAGAATTCAAGATTTTCCTTATTACCACCGGTACAGCGGATATGGTATGCTTGCCAATGGGGCATTGCACTGGGTTGTGTTTCCAACACCGGGTTTGGATAGGCCCGAGCTGATTGCTGCTTTTGATCTTGGGGTTGAGGAACATCGATTGGTGCCACAGCCTGATTATCCCGGTAAGAATTTTGACTTGAATGTGGAGATCCTAGGAGGATGGCTTTGTGTAATTTGCGACTATTGTAGGTTCGGTGCTGATACGTGTGTTGATATATGGGTGATGAAGGAGTTTGGAGGTAAGGAATCTTGGACTAGATTATTTTCTGTTGCACAACCAAGTTCAATTAGGGAGTTCAAGTATGTGTGGACTCTGGTTTTTTCTCAGAGCCGTGGGGAAGTACTACTGATACAGGATGGTGGAAGGCTTCTTTGGTATGATTTTAAAATGAATACAATCAAATATACTGAGATTCGTGGGGGAGGCATGGAAACTAATGTTTGTTTTGGAAGCCATACACCGCTTTGATGTTGATGTTCGAAGTGATGAGGAGAACTGGATGATGGTGATGTTGAAAGTGATCAGGAGAACTGGAGAAACAGCAAGCAAACCTAATAGAATGTGAAGGTGGGAAAAAAAAAAAAAAAATTAGGGAGAGACTACTGGAGTAATTGTGCTTTGTCTTCCTCTCTCTCATTACTTTACATTTCTCAACTTGATCTTCCTTGGCAAACAGCAAGCAAACCTAATAGAATGTGAAGGTGGAAAAAAAAAAAAAAAAAAAAAAAAAATTAGGGAGAGACTACTGGAGTAATTGTGCTTTTTCTTCCTCTCTCTCATTACTTTACATTTCTCAACTTGATCTTCCTTGGCAGTGTATAGAGCACTGGAGTATCTAATCGAGTTGGATTACAAATGCTGAGGCCAGTATTGGGCTCTCAGCTACTAGCAGTACATTTTTCAAGAGGTGAGAATTGAAATGCATGTCTTTTAGTTGCTTTGAAGTTACTGATTATGTTACATGTTGCATTTTGTTTCTTTTTAGAGATGATTTTCTGTCTAAGGGGGGCCAAACTGGTGCTTTGAGCAACTCGAAGAAGCAACGCAAGATGGATAAGTAGTAGGTTAATAAAATTTGGCAGTATGTTTTAGAGTGGGGTTGATTTCTTTATCTTCTAACGTTGTTTTATTGTCTAGATTAAATTTCATGGTATTCTATCTTATATATGATTTTCTAGTAATAGAAATAGAGATGAGATCTCCTATTTGTGATATAGGTATAGAACAGATGAAAAGGTTACATTTCATATGATTATACTGTATACTTCTCTTACCTAATTATGTTTTAACTTAATTGTTATTATTATTATTTTTGTGCAAATAGAATGATGAAAGGTCTGAATTAATCTTTTTTCTTTTCCTTCCACCTCAGTTATCAAAATATGACAAGAGTAATTACCATCTCCTTCCCAGTTTCCACCATCTTTTCTCAAACATGGATTGCCAATAACGTACCCTTTCCTTGTGCCTTCCCACCTTAGCTAGTCATGCATCCAAACATGAGTACTGCTTGATCGCCTTTCATTTATTTTAGCATGGTTTCCTTTATTTTTTTTTTTCCCATTTATTTATCCAAATGCAATAGATAGTGTCAAACCCACAACAAAGTTGAGTCCTTATTACCAAACACATGAACAAATGTAATTTTATTGCAAACTAGATGATATATATTAAGATAAGACATAAAGAATAAGGCCTTGCTTCATATGTCACTATGAAAAGTGACCAAAAAAAAATCACTATTTGTAGTCTGCTTGGATGTGTTTTTCAAGAATAGTTTTTTAGAAAACTGAGAGATGAAAGTTGGGGATTTTAGAGAACTACCATTTGCTGTTCTGAGAGTTTTGGAAACAGAGAGTTCGCTAATTGAAAACATGGAGAACTGCCATCATTTAGGGGGGAAAAAAAAACACTTCTCGCTTATTAGACAGCAGCCACACGATCCTCTCTGTTTTTATCTAACAGAAGGAGAGTTCTCCCTGCAAATTTCTTCAGCCATCATCAAATCTCTTAGACACACAACAAGAAATTTATTCAAACCTGGTCGAGCCATTGTAAAATCTCTTAGACACAACAAGAAATTAGTTCAATTCTGGTCTCTCAACTTCCCTTTATCTCTAGTCTTGGACTCATGATCGATCTCTCTCGCTCTGAAGGTAACACAATCAATATCTCAATCTCTCCCTTTAAAATTCATAATTTATATTCACATGCATGGAGAACTGTTTTATGTTATCGGTCCATTGGGAATGGTTGTCGTTTTTGAAGTTCATGAGTTTTCTTTGGTTCTCATATTTTTATTTGGATTGGCGTTTGATTGCTTTGCTTTGCTTTGGTTGGATGGATTTGGTTGTGAATGAGAGTTCTTATGGATTTGGTTGGCTTGATATAGTTTTTTTCATACTCCAGATTAGGGTTTTCCTTGATTCCTTTGATTTGGTACATCTAACAATGCTCTCAGATTTAGTCATCTTGAATTAATGGGTTTTATTCAGTTCAGTTTCTTTAAAGATGAAGATTGAGGATGTTGTTTAATGTAAGAGTGTTCATTCATTTTGGATTAAGTGGTCATGTTTAGTTCAGGGATATAATTAAGGATTGAGTTTGTGATTTTCAATTTATGAATGTTTTGTTGTATGTGTGGAAGCTATCCTTTATTAGGGGCTTTGCAATTGCATATTTTCATGTATGATTTTTTTAATTTTCTGTATGTGATGAATTCATTTTTGCTGGTAATCTAAAAATATGTGAGTGATGGTCCAGTCCTAGTTTCTTATATAGTTCGTTTTCTGCTCATTTCATCCAGAAGTGTGAGGAAAATAAAGTGAAGGCTCATGTTACATCCCACAATTACCTTGGGAAATGAAACCCTTTTTAACTTCCCAAGTTGAAAACATATGTGAAGTAAATGGAGAACAAAATCTCCCCAAAACACTGGAAAAAGAAAGCCCAAAACAATCTCTCTCTCTCCACTGAGTTAACTACTTAAGTTTAGGATCCTTCTTTTCTAAAAAAAAACAAACCCCTGTACTGAGGGGTTTTTATTTTCATACTGAACTTTCAACATCATCCTCACTACCATTAATTAGTAAAAAGTTGTAGATTTAATTATGTAACTGCGCACATTACCCTTAATAGTGACTATCATTGGAGAACAACTCTTTGGAACTTGTTCTCAGTGATTCAGAGGCTTCATAGAGACCCATTTTCCTCTATGTGAATAATGGTCAAGTTTATGAGTTAAATGAGTAGATAAGCTTGAGTCAAGTGGTATAGAAGTGTAAGTGAGTCCAGTGGAAAGGGGGCTTGATTGTGTGTAAAATGAATTCCAATGTAACGTGAATTCTTGATTATGTGTAAACTTGATATATTGAATACATTAGGCATGTTTCTTATTAAGACTTGAGGTTGTGCTCCGATAGATAGAAAAAATTGAGGTTGTGTTGGTTTTTAGTGAGGAGTGGGGATTATTTGAGCCATAGTAGGTGATAAATGTGAGCCACTAGTTCTTCTTTATTTTTAATTTCCTATCAAAATGAAGGGGAGTAAGGATTCTTGGTGAGGAATGGGGGTTATGTTATTGATGTTGCACTTCAGCCATAAGTGATATGATTGTTCAATGCATCAGGTTTGGCACTTTTTCAAAACTGTTCACTGTATAATGTGGCTTATTAGTATCAGTTCATGCTTGCAGATGACATAGTGATTGATGGAAACCGAGTTGAGTTAATATTAGACCATGTTGGCAGGTTGTATCAGTTCATAAATGCTTGCAGTATATCATTCTTGCATATGTTATCCTTCATAGTATCAGTTCAGGTAATGAATTTTCTTCTTTCATGGCATACTTGGATGCAAAGCATCTTCTTCTTGCAGACTTACATAGTTGCATGGTTGCAAAATTTGATGGCATACTTGGATGCAAGGCATCTGCTTTGATGGCATTATGTTCAGTATGTTGGAAATGGGGGCATTAAAAATATAAACTTTGGATGAGATTTGAAATAGATTCCGCTAATAATTTTTTACGGATCTCTAGACAAGCGCGTTTCTCTCCGCAAGGAAATGAACGTGGTATATTTACTTTCTGAAATCCGTTTCTGGATGAATGAGAAATTAGCTCCAAAGTGTGGTGTTTTGATAAGCCTAAATGGGTATGCAAAATGTGGGAAGTGTTTGTCCCACATGGAAAAAATGTTGAAACAAATTGAAATTTAAATAAGCTGAGTTTATGATTTGGGCTTGGGCTTGGGCCTAATTGTAAAGTCCAGATTATTCTTTTTTGGAATTTTGGATTGGGCCTAATTTTGGACTGGGCTTATTTAAATGGGTTTCACAAATGAGTGGGTTTTTTGGATGGTTGGCTTTTTGAATTAAAAAAAAAAAACTACTTTTTAGTTTTTCTAAAAGGTTACACCTTTTAAATTAAAAACCCACTTTTTAGTTTTTTTTTCAAAGGGTTACACCTTTTTCCGAACCATCATAACCCATGGTTGTACCCACTCGAAAAGACACCATGTGAACCATTGCAACCTATTAGAATGGACGTGTCTATTGGTGAACAGACACCATGCGAACCATTGCAACCTATTAGAATGGATGTATCTATTGGTGAACAGACACCATGTGAACCATTGCAACCTATTAGAATAGATGTGTCTAGTGGTGAACAGACACCATGTGAACCATTGCAACCTATTGCAATGGTTGTGTCCAATAACGAAGAGATACACCCCATCTGAAAAGACATTTCTGTTTCTATAAATACCCCCCTTTGGATCATTTGCAAGTTGTTCATTTTCATTTTCTTCTATCTCCCTCTCTAGACTTGAACCCAACCCAAGTGGGTTCAAACCATAGGTTAAGTGGTCCGAATCACTTAGACCCTAATCCAATTTCATTGAGCCATATTAAGATTGGTCCGAACCATTTGGTTCGGATTATACCCAATTCAGCATTTATATAGTATATAGATGCATTTTTTAGTCAGAGAGAGTATTACACAGAGGAGGTTCGCCGTATCCACGAGTTTGTAGTGCTGCTATTGGTGGATGTAGACCGTTGTATCCTGGGAGATAGACGCCACTGAGTCCGTTAGCACCATAGCGGGGCGAATCTGTCTTAAGGACATAGTATCCAATACTAGCCTCGGTCCAGGTTCATTCCTTGCATATTATTATTATTTTATTGCTTTATTTTGTATATTTAATTAAATATAGAGTTGCATATTTAATTAATGATTTATTAGCATATTGTTAATTATCTCATGACATATTAGTATAAGGGTTGTTATATCTTAAAAGTCACATTAAGCATATATTGTTCCAACACAGTACTTGTTAGTCCTTTTGAGTCTTGTATATATGTTCAGATTTGTATATGATCAGCCTTGTAAATGTTCAAAAATTCAACAGTTATTATTATATCTTAATTAAGATCAATCATGATTTGGAAGCTTGCTGTTTGTGTATGATCTGTAAATCAAGCATGATTGGGGGTTAAAATTTACTTTTGGTCTGACCTTCTATTACACTACAGAAATTTATAGGTTTGGATTTTTCTCTTCAATGAATACAGGTAATAACATGTTTTGCAAATGCACTGTTATAAGGTTAACAAGCATTCTCTTCCAAATCAGTATGGTCTCTCCCCAATAACATTGCCATGAGGATAGTACTCACAGACTACATATGTATCACCACTTCTGCATTTGATCTTAGCACACCCAACATCCCTTGTGCTCCTCCACACAACCTGTGTATAATGCAAGCACTCTTTATTTGGCATGCACTTATTATTTTTGTAGTCATAGTATGCTTCTTGTGCCGCCCACGCCGCGACTGCATCTGATGGCTTCCACCGGTTCCCCTGCCCCCAGAAAATGTTCTCACCCAAGTCGCTGTCAGAGTGAACCAGTGCACAGTCCCCTCTCCGCTGGTTCGCGTACCATTTGGCGTAGTTGGCTAGCTTCGTGCTCCACTGGAGAGGAGGGACGTTGTGTTTCGCCCTCACTGCGTTGTGCGTGTTGAGGAATTGAGCAATAGTAGAATTTGAGTTGATGATCATGGCCCGTCTGGGTGTGGTTGAATTTACTGGTGCAACGAGACTGAGGGTGGCCATGAGGAGACATAGAAGGAGCTTTGTGATGACCATTGTGGATGGAGGGTATGGTATTATTGACTTTGTTGGTTGATGACAAAAGTTGGAATTGCATAGATGGGTTTTTATAGTGTTTAATTCATGGAATTTTGGGATATTTAAACATTTGAATAATTGTATTCTAAACGATTGATTGATGTGTTTAGTCCCCGAGAATTTTGTCCATCTTTATTTGATCTTGATTGTTTTTTTTTTTTTTGGTTGTTGAAATGGAATGTTTTAATAGAAATAATGGTAATGATTTGGTTTTTGTCAGCTAAATTGGTGGCTGAAAGTATGTTATTGAACGTGGAAGTTGAGAATGAACATGAAGAAGTAATCATTTGCCATTAATGAAATTCAATCGTGAGAAGAAATGTTCTTCCAACTCATGGCAAAGGTCAACTATTAAACGGAAAACTGTCAGATTAATTCCATTTGTGATACTCCGAATCACTTAACCCACTTATTACAATCACACAGTTGAATGCACCTGAAATTTTGATTCTGTAACACTGATTTTCAATAAATTCAAAATTTCAAATATACATATTTTTATTTTTAGGGTTAAATACACACACACACACACTAGCGCAAAAAGTTCTACGGATTATTCTCAATTTCTGCCACATTCAAAAAATGAAAAATAACATTTATAGACGTGACAACTCTAGCTAGCTATCTTTCTCATTAAATTTTACAATATGCTTCTCATTAAATTTTACAATAAGACATAATTGTGTGTATTTTACAATATTTCATAATTGTGTGACATAATTTTACAAGAAGAACACAGTATTTTTTTAAAGATAGCAATCTACTGATCATTTGCTTTCCTACTAATCATTTGCTTTCGTAATAAAGTTCTTGCAGTGGAAAATGCAAATTGTAGTTTGGAAGTCAAAATTGATCTTCCATTCTCTTCACACAGATAAAATGGCAATTCATTCCATGCAAAATATATATATATATATATATATATATATATATATATAGTCATGATCTCTTGCTCCTTATATAATAAAAAAAATTAATCCACACTTTCTATATACACCGTTAGATTAAATCTAATAGTCATTTTTCAAACCCACCTATGACCTTTTCTTTTAACACAAAACCACTCCTACCTTATTTTTAATTTCTTTATTTAATTTTACTATTACTATTTACTATAACAATAAAAAGGTAATTATCAAAATAAAAATAGAAACCTTTGAGTAGGAGGTTTATATCCGGTGGTCGGGATAGATTGATGGCTCGATTCAACTCTCTCTCCATTTCTTCGTGCGTGGCTGAATTTGAATCCATGGACAAAAGTGTGAACAAATGATTACTCTTCATGGATTCTACAGTCCCACCATAGTCTGTACATCATCATCATCCAATAATTAAACCCACAAATTCACAGATTCAATAATGAATTTCACTAAATGCCTAACTTCAAATTGAAATAGAAAGAACTTTTGTTCAAACTTTAAATGAAATTTTCTTCAATTTCAATTCTAATGAATCAATTCAATATTCCAAAATGCAACAATACATCATATTTGTTGATAAATTTACTTATGCTAGAGAAGTATATTAATTTACTTAAATTGAGAACAACAAGATGTTACTTAGAAAAATACTATAATATCATACTGTTGTTACAAAATTGAAAGATATGGGCATTATTTTTCTTTCAAAGAAACATTTAAATAAAAACAAATTTATTAATAAAATATATGGGTATTATTTTTTTTTTCAAAGTTTTCTATTTTTATTTTGATAATTACCTTTTATTGTTACGGTAAGTGATAATGGTAAAATTAAATATAAAAACTAAAAATAGTGTAAGAGTGATTTTGTGTTTAAAAGAAAAATCATAGGTGGGTTTAAAAAATGACTGTTATATTTAATCTAACGGTCTATATAAAAAGTGTGGATTAAGTTTTTTGCTCCATGGGGAGCAAGATATCTAGACTATATATATTAAAGTGTGTGTCCATATATAAGGGCAGGGGTTTGCAATTAATTAATTATTAGAAAAAAGGGAGAAGCATAGTTTGTACATGTTCGATGTTTTCCTGAATTAAATTATACCAAATTATCTAATTAAATGATACTCAAAGAAGGTTCGATTTTTTTAAAAAAATTTCTCGAGTGAGGGAATTAAATATAATTTGGTATTTTGAAAAATAAGTTGTGAGGATATTTTTAGGCTTAAATAATGATTCTCAATATATATGTAATTATTTTACCTAATTTAATCAACGGTGAAAAACAAACTTTTAATATAGACCACTTTGTTATTTTGAGTTAGTTATTAACTCAGTGTAAATATAATTTTCCCTACTATTTAAATATGTCGGTGTGCGGCACCTGGTTTAGTTATATAAAAAACACAAAAAAATGAGTCTTTTTAGTTCAGTTTCAAAAAAAAAAAAGTAGATTTTAAAGATTGTCAAACAAATGAATTTCACATATTTCCTTTTCATTTTTGTTGACAGAAAATAATTCTTGCAAAATGTAAACAAAAACATGCCCTAAACCTCCCTCAATCATTTCTTTCACTTACTACTCGGAGTAGAATCAATAAATCAGGGACTAATAATATTTAATATTAGGTAGGCTGAATATTATTTTTCATAAATCAATGTAATTATGTCTCTTTCATATAGTATGTAATGTTGGGTGTTTTTATTTAATTGGTTGTCACACTAAGAGCATCCCAGTGGATTCTTATTTGGATATTGATTGGTGGCGATGCAAATAGTTTGGCGGGAGATTCCACACTTGTGCTCCCACAAGATCATCTACACTCCACTCTCCACATCATGAGAAATGGTGGGCTTTGTGTCTAATTATATTTTACAAAGAAAAAGTTATCATGTGTGGTGATGTATAAAATAATTATTGTATGTATTTATTTAAATTTTATTGTATATGTTTTTTATTTATTTTATTTTTTTTATAATGTATTGTATTAATTAATTAATTTAAAAAGAGTCATAATTTAATTATCTAATATTAAATTTTTTTTTAAAACAAATAATCAAACAAATAATTAACAATATAATTGTTATAAATAAAGCGGTTAGGAAAAAAAAAAATCAATTCATTTTAGTCAGTATTTTGTGTTATTTTATTTTGTTTTGTTTTTGGAGACTCAACTTGTTGGTGTGACCGTGTGCCACTCAGATGGGATTTCCAGCAAATGTTTCCTAACAGCAGTTGTTGATACACACTTCTTTTTTTTTTTTCCCATTGGCGGGGACAGCAACAATGTCACAGACGGGTGAGAAGCACCTTCTCTCTTAAACCCTCAAATTCTCCCCCACCCCCAAATTCCAGAGACGAGTTTTGCTCGCCCAATGCTCGGTCGACCAACCTTTCTCTCTTCAATTCAATGGCTTTCTCTTCAACTCCACTAACACAGCTCTGAACTCCGAACCCACAAAAATCAAAAGACCCACACACTATCAAACATGGCTTTCTTCAGAACCCTTCGTTCTCACCATTTCCACACACTCGTAAAACACCAGAAACCTCTACATAATTCTTCCAAAACAACCCATTACTTAGTTTCCAATCCTCAGAAATCTTCCTTACTTGCTTCAATCTCTCACAGAACCATATCGCTTTCGGCACAATTCGGAGCTGAATCGATTCACTTAGATGACGGCAAAGAAGATAAGAAGAAGACAAAGAAGCCCTTGAATGTTTTCTTCAAAGAAGCCGTCGGATTATCCCAAAATATTGAGAAAAGTGAAGGCGAAAGCGACATCGAAACTGGAGAATTGAAGAAGAAACTGAGAAAATTGGAGGAAGAAGTGAGAAAATTGAATGCGGATAAGAAGGAGGGAGAGGTTTTGAAGAAGAAGCAGCCTAAGAAAGATGATGGGTTTTCACAGAATGAGTCTAAGCCTAAGAAAGATGATGGGTTTTCACAGAATGAGTCTAAGCCCAAGGGCTTGTATTCGTTGTTCACGAATAAGGCAGCTAACAGTGAAAAATCTGTGGATAAGGAGTCTTCCAAGGTTGATGAGCCAATGGTTTTCAAGGAGCTCTCAACCGACATGGTTCTGTTTGCGACTCATTTGTACAAAGAAGGATACTTTAATAATGCTAATTTCTTGCCAAGGGACAAGTTTGATGATACTTGTTTTCAGAACAATTTTGGCCGTGATTATCTAAAGTTCGCCACCGAGAAGTTTGGCAAGGATAACCAAGAAATCGCAAAGTAAGAACAGATCTTTACTGTAACTGTTCTATTGATTGATTATAGTTTATTACTTTTGTGGTGATTATATTTCTATGCCAGTTCTTATCTACTCCTGTTTGAACAAGTTACTGTGATTAATTGTTGAAGATTGCTTTGTAGTGTCAGTGTCAGATATATCTATGATGTTGTCATGTTAGCTTAAACTTCTCTATTTAGATTAAAAGTGATGGTTTTTGCTTAAATATATGAAAACCTTTATAAGGTGATGAGCAGTTGTATATTTAGAGATGAAAAATGTCGCATTGATTGGTGATTTAGTCTTTCTAATTCCTTATTTTGGGGGCTATTTGGGAGTTGCACAAACTAGTGAGTGGCATGGACTGAATAGGGATATGATAATTGGACCTTATGGAGATGAGGTGAGATATAATTGTTTGCACACCAAAGTTGTAGAGGTGATTTGATTATTAGGAAAACGAATCATGTGTCTCCCTTCTCTTTCACATGTGTTCCTTTGATGTCAGTTCTGCCCTTTCCAAGTTGGGTCATTGTCCTATTTCATGCAAGATTAAATATTATTTTTTCTTTAGAGTGGATGACATCCCTATACTGTAACCTAGCCAATTCTGGTTTTGGGGATGGGTTTGATTACCAGTGTTCATTGTTGATAGTATTTGCCTGCTAGCCTTGTATGTGGTTGCTACATGTTTCTTATGCTTGCATTTTGTTGTTTTGGTTTGGGTTTGTTGCTTTTATATAGGGTTCTATGCCCTTCCTTTAGGTTTGTACATAATGTATCCTCTTTTGGTTGTTAAATAAGCTTACTTAGAAGGGAAAAAATAGGAGAAAAGGATTTCACTTCTGCACAAAATTCTCACATTTGATTACTTGATTTTCCACCAAATGCTCGTGGTTGATTCCATATAGTTATACTGCCTGCAAGGTAGGCTCAAAAGGCTTAGACTAGTTCTCATCAACTGTTTTTCAGAATTACCCAAGCAGCTTCCTTTCCCCGGTTAGGAGTTTCTTGCACAACCTCCAAGGGGAACAACATGGTTGTGATGGATGGTATGACCACCACCCCAAAGGGGAGTCTAAGGGTTCAAGCCCCAAGGTGGTGCATTTCTTAGTTATTTAAATGGTTTGAAAGGTAAGAAATAGTCATGCTTTTGATGATGGAGTTGTAGAAGACAGTTTCCTGAGGAAAAAAAAAGTATTATTAAAATTCTAAATTTTATTTGTTAACTCTCCAATTAGCCAAATTCCATGGTTTCCCCATTTGCAATAATTAACATGATTGTCTAATTTTCCCATTTAATTTATTTTAGCCTTGTCAGCTTTCCGGTTTTATTTTTCCTATGTCTGTGTTTTGTTATTATCTGAAGGATTCTTTGGGATCAAACTTATATCTCTTACAAGCTTCATGTGTGCAATTTTTTATTCCTGTTCCTGTATCTTGCTTCCTTCAAGCATTATATTTTCTTATTATCATGATTCCTTTTATCTTTTGGACCCACTGAATTTAATACTCTTCAATTAATAGATTTTATATGATCTAACTCTGATTTTCATATAACTCAAACATCAACACTTAAGGCAGCATTACGAAGATCTTTTTCTTAGGGTAAGAGAACTTTCTGTAGTACATACATGAGTGAACAATGCAAGTCATTTTAGAGGAAGAAAAGCCGAGAATAGTTGACAGATTGTTATGCTGGTTTAGTTCTTTATCATGTAGCAATGGTTCCACTGTTTTATGACAACTATTTTCGTGTCTAGTCATCCTTTTGTCTAGTATCCAGATCTTTACCATCTCTTAAGAGCTTGCAATTTCTCCTGGAAATCTCTAGATCTGTTTCCTGTGGGTTCAATGTTAGATCTTCAAGCCAATTGACCAAGGAATGAATCAATATTATCTCTCCTTGATTCCCTTAAGTATTGTTACCTCGCAACTTCATGGCTTTATGCTACATGTTGGACTTTAGAGCTGGTTGGAACTTTTTCTTTTTCCTAATAATTTTCTCGTCATATTATCAAGCAAATGTTGTAACTCATTTTCTCTAATTGATCCACTATGCCTCCAATACAAAATCCTTAGCCAAGCTGACAGATCATATACCTTCATGAAGGAGACCTTTCAAAATGTTGTCTAGTAGCCACCATCTGTTTATTCATTGCTTGGTTTCTCAAATGTTCTGACAGTGACAAACCACCGTAGCAGTGCTATACCATTACCAGCCTAAATTTCCTCCTCATAAGAGATTTCTTTCCAGTATTTGGGGTGGAAAATAGGAACTATCATAAAATATTCCGGAAATGTGCTATGTGAACATCTGACTTTACAGATCTAGAACTTCCCGTGCAAATGACAGCAACTATTCGTGTTATGTTTCTTTTTATCTTCTTCTTAGAATTATCTATGTTTATATTTGTATCTTGTTTTTCAGTGAATTATATGTATATTCAATTATAGTGCAGGTTTTATGTTCAGTCTAGTTTAATTTTGTATTCAGTCCCTCCTGGCTTCTTTAAAAATTTAAAAATTTAATTTGTGGATTCATAGGTGGTTATCAGGCAGTGACTTGAAAAAGGTAGCCTTGTTTGGTTGTCCTTCTCTTTCAAGGAAGAATGTTTTTTCTGCTAAAAGATTGCGCACTTTTTTTCGAATTCCGGAAAACACTGTAAGTTAATTGCCCAGTTGAAAGTTCTCCATCATCGATTAAGTTTTAGGCTCATCTATACATAAGGTTGAAATTATAACACATTCTTTTCATTCTCTATTGTCGTGCTCAATTTCAGGTTTGCAGTAGATGCGCGTTAAAACAATCATGCAAGTTCCCAAATCAGAGTGTATGGAAAGGCGACACCAAGCAGTTGAATTTGGCTGTTGTAATGAGGGTTATCGTTTTGTATGCTTTGGAGGCAGTACCTCAACAGTTGGTAGTGCCTGATGAGATAAAGGCTTCTGTTAGTCGGTTGCTGAAGGAGGTCGTAAATCTAAGTCAAACTATATCATAAGGCTTGTTCAGGATCTTATCTATGAAATGAAGTTTCAGGTACTTTGAGGACTAATTCTTTTCAAGGCTGCTTGCCCCCTGATCATTTTAGTTGCTTCTATACTGACTTAATTCTCTCATCGTACATATGATACTAATGATGCTAATGCCAACATCTGGGCTTTTGAGATGATATACATGACTACTGCTGCAAATGTTGCTAAAGTATGTGAGAAGGGGCTTTTCCATATGTATGTAGACGTGTCATCCTGGTTGCACCGGCTGGTAAACTTTTTGATTCCTTAAATATAATTTTGTGATTGGCACACTTCTCTATATCTGTCAGTGATTTTTTTTTTTTTTCTTTTACACCCTTTGTCAATTGTTTTTGAACTAAAATGGGAATTGAATTCTAATGTTCATTTATTTTATTTTATTGTTAGATTATAATTGTTAACTTGTACTAGTATTGGTCAGTGAACAGATGAACTTTGAAGAGAGCTTGGCCAACTTCTTTTACATGCATCCTTTCATTTCAAATTTATGTATTGCATAAAAAACAAAGAAACCCCAATTATTTGTGACGCTTTGAATTTTTTGCTGAATTTCAGTGACTGCAGATCAGAATTGTTTCCGGGTAGGGTGCATGTGTTAATCTGTTTCTGGGTAGGGTGCGTGTGTAAATCTATATTTTTTATCTACGAAGCATTATGGAAATATTAAATGTCCATTTTCCTCCCTCTATCGTCGATAGTTGGACCATCAGAGTTGTTAATTTCCTGTACATTTAGAACAACTTCCTATTGGGTATTGAAGAATAATTGACGAGTAAAAAGGGAAACAAATAACAATGTTTGCAACTTTAGAATTTTATGTTAGGACTCAGGAGTATAAATGGGATGGACTTACAATTTGTGACATCAAATTGTGACAATTTGGTAACCATACGAGTCATGACTATATTGTTGGATTGACTAATCATCGAGTTTTAGAACTAGGCTTGGCAATAACTGTTTCCTGAAGGAGCACAAGTACTCTTAGTTTGATTTCGGTTTGAATCACATAGTTTGATTTGATTTACATGTCCTTGCACATTTTCTTTAATATAGTAAATGCATTTTAAAGCATTGTACAGAATGATAGTTGTCAAATTCAAACATGCAACTCAAGGGGACATCTAGTGGCAAAGATTCCCACCTCATGTCTTGGAGGTCAGAATTTTGAATCCTTTTGGGGCCACCCTTGGGGAATTTTTTCTGTAATTGTTTTTTTATTTTTTATTTTTTATTTTTTATTTTATCATGGCAAACAAGGGAACAAGCAAAACACACTAGCAAACACAACCCTAGCTGCCCAAAAAAAACTCCTACCCACCCAACTGCCTGGGCAAACCACGGAACACCTGACTGTCCATAGGATGAGCAAGAGAAATTTTTGCCACATCATGAGCCAGCGAATTTGCATCGAGACGGACATGAGCAACTCGAACAACATGAGTAGCTTCCATAAGATGTTGAATATCATAGAAGGTAGAAATGGCTGCAGGACAAGCTCACACCCTCCTCACAGCCTCACATAAGATACGAGAGTCACTCTCCAAACACAAGCAGCAAAACTGAAAGGCACGAGACCAAAGCAGTGCCTCACGCATGACAAACGCCTTGCTTTTCGGTAATTGTTTGGTGCATGTAGGTTGGGATTGGTATGGGTGTTTTAAGAGTACCGACACCACCATTGTTGAATTGTTTATTTATTTATTTATTATCAAACATGCCTTTTCTGGCTTAGCTGAAGTAAATTAGTATAAAGTTTCACCACAGCCCTCAAAGTGGGATGATCTTGAATCATGTCAATCATCGTATTGGTTTACGATCCAAGGCCAGTGACGTGATTATGGGTAACTTGAAAATTGAAGAAACCTCCTCCTCCTCCTCCTATGCATAGACATTTTTAGTTGGGGCAGCAATCTGAACTGTTCATTGGGATCAATAGTGGCACGTAAGTCAATTCATCATCGATCTCGCATACACACTTTTCTTCTTTTCCACTTTTCCACTTTTCCACCGTATGGATGGATAAGAAAGTGAACCATGATTAAAGCAGCTCCATTACTTGGCCATCCGTTGAAGCCAATTTTCTGGGATTGGTCAATCATGGTGTCGTTTTTATCAAGCTCATTTTGATCCAACTACGAAGAGGTTGACAACATTTTCATGATAACCTTTTCTTTTACACCTCCAGATTGGTAGCTCATGACTACGTCTTCTCAATGTATCCACCCTCCACAGTGCTAAGAAGAAAAGACTGAAATCTCACTTATGTTTTGACACACGGTTGTTGACAGTTAACCAACTTTGAGTATTGACGTGTGCGATCATACCAGCACTAATGTATTTATTTTATGAGAATCTGTAGTTAAGTGTGCAGACGAAAGTAATACTAGGATGAGTGATCCTGAAAAGTCAAAAAGATTTTTGAGTAATGATTAAAAAAAGACTCTATCAATAAGAATAAAGAATGAGTAAGGAATGAGACTAGATTATCTCTATTAGTAGTTATCACAGTCTCCTGTACAAATAGTCACCTACGTTTTTTTACCATTGTTATAATTCGATGGTGTGTTGAGAAAGACTGGGTTTTCTAAAATCATTTTATTAAAAAAAGAAGAAGAAGAATAAGAGATTAGTATGATTTGTTATAATTTTGTCTTCCATTACTTTTATTTGCAAAAATGAAACGTTGGGGTCAATTAGAATGCCTCGTGGGTGGCGAGCATATCGGGCTGCATGTGACCCCACCGCTTCACAAAGAAGGTCGCAACCAACTGGTCCCCGCGGTCCCCACCACCTCCCACCTGAGGCCTCCGTGGTTGAAGAATGAGTCCGATGACTTGTCATGCACCTGACTGCACGTGCTTATGGTCTGTTTGGTAGGGAAAAATAGGAATTTAAAGGATGAAAAACAAGATGGATGAAAAGTGATTGATATCCAAATTCAGCACTTAATTAGAATAATGCAATTTAAACAGAAAGTGATTGATAATTAAATTTAATATTTAATTATAAAAGGGTTAAGTCACTTAGAAAAAAAATCACGATGAGAAAAGTGACTTCAGTTATTACTAAATTCAGAAATCTATTTAAATTTTAAATTTTTTTTTAATTACCATCTAAAAACTTCAGTTTTTAAGTTTTTTAGTTTCTTCAACCAATCCGTTTCTTTTTAATTTTCTTGTAATGTGAGAATTTATTTATCACTATGAATATGTTAGAGGGAAAGAAAAAGTTCTTACTAAATAACTTTTAGGTAGATTTGAATTTTCTACATTTTACTTTAAAATAAAATAGGACCTCCTCTACTGGAATTGTTTTAAGTAGAAGTCCTAATTTGAGACCTAATACTTTTAAGGTCGAAGGCCCAAATTCTTACCCACTAAGCCGACTCAGGGATTAGGCATTTCAAATAAAATAAACTACTGTAATAAACACAGGATAAAAACATACAGTAACTAATAGAGACAAGACGTATATGAATATGTATTCCCACTGCTAATCTTAAGAATTGCTTGAAATTTTCTGGTCTCTTAGTTAAAACCAATATTATATTTGGATGAGTTTGGACAACACTTTTTAGTTGCTTGAGATAGGCTGAGTGTTGAAAATTTTCAACCTAACCTCAATTCTACGTTGGTTCGGAAAAAAGAGTTACGCAACTGAAGGTGTCACCGAAAAGTAATTTGTGGCGCTTTTCGGCTGCCTAAAGGGCAATGCCAAACGCGGCCTTAAGAATGGCATAATCGAGTCACGTGAAAGGAGTTGTAGCCTGAGTTGTAGTCATCGCGTGTTGCACCCCACATGCAGATGGATAGCGAGAGCTCACTCTCGAGTCTCGACCGAACCCCATGGTGCTTCAACACTTTCACCGAACTTCTGACACGTACGAATGAATGTTTTACCTTCTCTTCATTGGCAATTTGGCATGATATATGTATACGTATAAATATACAGTATTATATACTAAAGTACGTAGTAGTAGTAGCAGCACTTCTCCATTTCATAATTCATTTTGGTAGTGAGAGAGAGGAGAGAGAAACGGTTGAGGAAGTGACATGCCAACGTCACATGCAGTCAGCGAGTCACGCACCCCTCACCCCTTTACTGGTCCCCACAAGGCTCCAATCTACTTTTTAACGTGCCACTTTGTACTTTGTTTGTTTTTGGCTACCGAAAGTGCCCTTCATCAAAAATTAATTCAATAACCGTCTTTTGTAATTAACTGAATTATTTTATACTTTTTGAATTTCTGAATAACATTTTTAGAGAATTTAACCAAACAAATTCTTAAGATTGTGTTTTTGTGGTCTCAATTTAGTTTCTAGAAACAATGAAAACAAAAACATCTTTTAGAAATAGAACAATATCATGTGATTTTTAAAATTTTATAATTATTTATAAAGTAAAAATATATAGATTTTTTTTTTGTGATCATATTCAAAACAATAAATAACTTGCTTTTCATTAAGGTTACATTCTTGATTCTCTTGTAACGACTAAAGTCTCATACATTTAATCGATTTTTATGATTTTTCTTTCGAAATAATAATAAATCAACTGTGCACAAGTTGATTTAGGCATTTTAAACTGAAAAATTCACTTGATTTTTAAAATTAGTTACACAGAATTTTTGTTGCCTTTTTTTTTTTTCAATTGTCTTTAAAAACACTTTGAAGAATAATTGTGTTGTTTTTCATTTATAAACTATAATGATACAAAACTGAAACATGAAACACAAATATTGTTATTCAAGAAAAAAAAAAAACACAAATATTTTTTTTTTACTTAAAAATAAAGAAATTTACTTTGAATATATTTAAATTTTAAGCCAGGTTAATTTAAATTTGAATTTTAGATCAAATATATTTATATGACTTGTCACTAAATACTTATCGCAATCAATTTCAAAACATAATTTTAACTGAAATGAAAAATATTATTTCAATTTCTCCTCTAAATGTTTTAGTTAATCACCTGTAAATGTAACTGATTTTTTTTTTTTGAAACATAATTTTTAGTTTTATCAAAATAATACATACTATTTAACTTTTAAAAAATAATCATACATATTAAATGTATCTTTTGTCTTCGGTTTTAGTTCAATTCGTAAGTTAATGGTAAAAATGTAATTTAAAATCCATGCATGGACATTATTAGCCTCGATGTATTCACCTCATAAGCTCCCCTCTAATACCGCCATTTTTAATATGACCCAAATCACTCCTGCTTTCGTCGCCCTCTTTTTCCCGGTTTTTTTTGTCTTACAATCACTTTTTTCGTAAACCGATCTCTCTTTTTCTCTCAAGATCAATCAGATCACTCGTTAGCTTTTGGAATTCAGATCTCTTATATCTCTCAGTCGATCGAAATCTCACTCCCTCAATCAGAAGGGCTTGCCTTTGATTTTCTTTGCTCTTCACTAATTATGATTTTCAGTTGATTTCAATTGAGTTTTCCAGTAGAATTGTGTTGTTTTAGTCAGATTTGTTGTTCGACACATGTTCTCTTGTAGTCATTTTCTTCTCAGGTCAGTTTGTTTCTTGAAATTTCAGAAATTTTAGCTCGAATTTTCATTGCTCTGCTCTCTGTTCCAAGCAATTTTAGGCTTTTGATTTTATTTTTTCTACAATTTATCAGTTCAGGTCAGTTCGTTTTTTGAATTTGAGCAATTTTAGTTCGAATTTTCGTCTAAATATCTTCTAGACAGCGTCTTGGTGTTCAGATTCATCACTCGGAAGCTGAAAACCGATTTTCAATTGCCCTGTTCTCTCTTCCAAGCAATTTAGACTTTGATTTCCTTTAATATATATATATATATATATATACACACACACACAAGTATATATATAAATAGAGAGATATGACGTCGGGGACGAGGATGCCGACATGGAAGGAGAGAGAGAACAACAAGAGGAGAGAGAGGAGGCGACGAGCGATCGCGGCGAAGATCTTCGCGGGGCTCCGGATGTACGGAAACTACAAGTTGCCGAAGCACTGTGACAACAATGAAGTCCTCAAAGCTCTCTGCAACGAAGCCGGTTGGTCCGTTGAACCGGACGGCACCACCTACCGTAAGGTAAAAAAACACAGATTCTGATAACCTCAATCACATTTCTTTGAATCCATCTTCTTCTATGTAGTTGTGTGTTTGATCTTAATTTGCTCCCTGCGCAATTTAGTAGCAAGCTGTACACGCTTAACCTGTCCGATGTCTCGGCGCATATAAGCGGTTTCAGTCAAACCAGTTTTGTCGTGCATTGTTTTTGCTATACTGAGCCTGGCTCATCATAGCAGCTCTTGGCGATCTGTTATGAAATAGGGGTGCATTTTAGCAGCTTGTAGATATTCAGTGGCGTGTTTCTGTAAAGTGCGCAGGGTGCAAGTGGCGCATGTTAGGGTGCTGTCGGCGTTTGTTTAGATTTGTTTTAGCGGTCAGGGTTTAGCTTCCTATATATATTTTTCAATTATTATTATTATTTTTTTTTCTCACCGGCGTACGTCAGATCTGGTCGGGACTGTGAAACTGTTTCTTTATCCTTTTCTCTTTTTCTTTCTTTGCTTTCCTGGTCGCGTGAATTACAAGATTCCCTGGTTTCAGATACTTTCAGTGACTTAAGTCTCAGAGATCTGAAACTACATTTCTAAGCTGAAGACGACAATATGCCCCTGTTGATTCACCACTCCCACTTGGATCCAGAAAACCTGAGAGTTAGGAGGGGTAGTTTCGGCATAATACGAGTTTCTCTCTCTTAGATAGATTTGGTGCAGCATCTTTTTAGTGAAGTATTCACTTTGTTTGTTGCAACAGAACTTTTTCAGTTCTGTTCAGTTTTCCAATTTGGAGGCCTCTCTCTCTCTCATTGCTCTCGTGAAAGTTCCTTCTTTTGCAGGAAAGTTTCATTTATTCATGTTCCGTGGAATTAGCTGATATCAGTAATGGCCCCGGAAGTGAAAAACTTAAATGAGTCCGTTGTAATAATTTACATGGCATTATCCGCTTATTAAATACTATAATGTAGGATATAATTCACAAAAATAAAATATTTTTATTTATGTTAAAGATGCAATGAAGTTTTTCTCCTATAAGAAAGTATTTTAATGTGTTATAATCATATTTATATACTCACTCAGTCCCAAAATAATTCCAATGCGAGCTAATTGTGTACTACTCCTACACAATTAGCTTGCTATTAAGTGGAAATAGCACATCTTATCTATATAATATTGCATTGAAAGCAACACTTGCATATAAGACCAAATATTAATTTTATTATTGATGAGGACTTTGTCTACTACGGACTATATGAGACCAAATATTAATTCCATGATTTTTTCAGTGAGGACTTTGTCTACTACGGACTATATGTTTTATCATTTGGATTTTAGAGTCATAAAATCATGATTGCACTGTGTCCTGCTACTATAAGAGGATTTTATTGCTCCCCACCTAGTCTCTGAGAACTAGGACCACACACCTGTAGACCGGATGAATCAGCCAAGCTTTGCTCAATGTGCATTTTTTTAAGTTTTTCAATTATGAAGTGATGTACTATTACTTATGATGAGCAGTAGAAAAAAACATCAAGAATAAGTAACTATTGTATGTACAAGTTTAGTGTATCTTAGATTTCGTTCTTACCTGAATTCCTATGGATGCATTTGCCAATAATTTTTTTCCAAAGAACATATTAGGTCGTTCATCATGTCAATTGCATGATCATCCATGATGTATTTGTCCACTACCTTATTTATTATTATTATTATTATTTTAAAAAACAAATATATAAAAAAGGAACAGATATGCACCCTATTGTTCATAGAGTTTACAGGTTATTACCATTCCAAACAAAAATTCTAGATGAAACAGTGAACTTGGCTTACATTGTGGAGCAAGTTGTGAATCAGATACTACATGTCCTTTAGAGTCCTCAATATGAGCACAGTGGAGAAATGGGGATCACCTTTATCAGACCGTAAACAGGCCAATAAGGTTATAAGAAAGGAGCAGTATTCCTTTTGGTGGTTGGTCTTGTGCAAGACGACTCGTAATGTTGCAGGTTAAAGACACTTAGAGAGTGAAGGTCACCAGCTACAGAAAGTATTTTATGATCTAGTGATAGTAGGTTTAAAGTATCAGTTTTTGACACCATACACTGGACTTTGACCCGGACACTGGTAAAAAGAATTTCTTATTGGCCACTAAATGAAAATAAGAGGTTTGCGCCTCAAAATAGTGTTCATCGTTTGATGCTTCATAGGTGGAAGCGCAGTGGTGAACTTGGGCTTCTGAGTGCGAGGCAGAACTTAAATTTGGTTCCCTAATCTGTGCTGCTTCATTTATTTACTTGTTTTCTAGTTCTACATCTGGAACTTTTGTCTTATGCTGCTATTTGATTTGTAATTCGTTGTTCATAATTTAAATCCTCTGCGTGCACCCATTTATATGCCTTTGATCATTTTATGATTCTTTTAGGGATGCAAGCCTGTGGAGCGCATGGACATCGGTGGATCCGCGTCAGCAAGTCCATGCTCATCCTACCACCCAAGCCCTGCCTCTTCTTCCTTTCCGAGCCCCGCCTCATCCTCTTATGCTGCTAACGCCAATGCAAATGGCAGCTCCCTCATCCCATGGCTCAGAAACCTCTCATCTTCATCCTCAACAGCTTCTTCCTCCAAGCTTCCCCATCTCTATATCCATGGTGGCTCCATAAGTGCTCCAGTCACCCCTCCATTGAGCTCCCCAACTTGCCGTACCCCTCGACTTAAAAATGACTGGGATGACTCCCGCCCAGGATGGGGTGGGCCTCACAACCCTTTTCTTCCATCTTCCACTCCACCAAGCCCTGGCCGTCAGATTCTTCCTGATTCAAAGTGGTTTGCAGGTCTCCGAATCCCCCAAGGTGGGCCAACTTCTCCAACATTCAGCTTTGTCTCCTCAAATCCCTTTGGCTTTAGGGAAGATGCTCTAGCCAGTGGTGGTTCTCCCATGTGGACTCCAGGCCAAAGTGGGACTTGCTCTCCTGCTATTGCAGCAGGCTTTGATCATACTGCTGATGTGCCAATGTCTGAAATGATTTCAGACGAGTTTGCATTTGGAAGCAACACAACAAGGCTTGTGAAGCCGTGGGAAGGAGAGAGGATTCATGAGGAGTGTGGTTCAGATGATCTTGAGCTTACTCTTGGGAGCTCAAGGACCAGGTGTGTTGGTATGGAGATGTGATTCCAGCCTTATAAAAGTTCTGTTTTACTCATCACTTGATCTGCATTATACTGCAGAGATAAATGAATGCATAAAAGAGAAGATCAATGCTCTCTCCATGTGAACTTTGAGTTCATTATATAATCTTTAACTGTTCCGGGGAAAGGATTAAAAGTTAATCAAGGTAAGTCTGTGAAGGTGTTCTTTCTTTCTTTCTTTTAAATTATATTAGCTAGTCAATGTGTGGGGTGGTTTCACAACCCATATTCGATCCTTTCTACTTTTAGTTTAGATTTTCGTGGAAGTCCAAAATAGAGAAAAGGAGTGGCTGCCTCTCTTGGTTCTGGTTTTGCCATTTGAAAGCAGTGTTAAATGGCTGAAAAGTGACTTGAACTGTATCTCAATTGTAAAGCCTCTGGAAATTAGATAAATTGGACTTTTTGGTCTTCTGCATATCTTATCACATTGTAATGTGCTTAGCATGTTATGTCAGCTGCTATCTTTTTGACCATTACTTTAAATCTTTATGTCTTGCTTTTATCATTGATGCATTAACATTGCTTTATAGAGTCAGTCGTAAAACATAATATGGCACTTCCTACACACACACATGTTTTGACTGGACCACTACTACCATGCCACCGAAATTCTAGAAATGCAGCTAGTGACAGGGTTATGTGATTTTGAGTCCCTACCTTTTTTTTACTAAAGCCTCTGTTGGGAATAGGCTTATGTTAATGAACTGATTGAAGAAAGGTCAAAAGGCCATTTCAGGGCTTTGATCCATATCATACAGGAAGTGGACTAATTGAATCTCCACACTGCTTGATGGATGAGCAATTTCCAGGACACAACAAAACGGTATGTAAGAGTCTTCAATCTTATCATTTGATGACTTCTGCGAATCTCATTGAGGTTTAAGAGCTTCTCATGGAGGTTGGCCGCCGTCGTGATCATAAGCTATGAATCTATATGTGGAACCTGTTAAATGATTAATGATTGTGATGCGATGAAGTCCTTTCAATAATGACTTTGTTCAAGTCCAAAAAGACAGATTTTAAATATCTTCCAACAGTGAAATATGTAGACAAGTCCAATCCAAGAAATCGACAATACATTCCATCACTGTCCAGGATATTCCCAAAGGCACAGCTAGTTTGCTTTTCATGGCAGATGAGTCAACTATATCAGACTGAATTAAGAGAAAACCCTCAGATTTATACAGTTTGTTATGTTTCATGCAATTGATGATAATTTTGACTAGGTAAGTTCTCCTAGTAAAAGTGATTACTCCTTTATGAATGGGATGAAGGTTAATGAGTAGTCATCACAGTAAAAACCCATCCCAATAGTGGGCCAAAGCTGCATGAAAATTTAATCTCTGGTCATCATTTCTAAATGTTGGAAGTGGCGACCATATGATAAGTAGGCCACACCAGAAAAGGGGAGCAAAGCATAATTTAAAGCTATATGATAAAAATCAAAGCTACATCCACTTCCAACTTTCAGGACTGGTTCAAATGCAACCAAAAGATCTCACCATGTGATGTTTACTAGTGGTGAAGTGATGCAATTATTTAGGAAAAATCCATTTAAAACAGTTGTTTGGCAGATTTTCATTGACAAATGCTTTTCGAAAATATTCAACTAAAATATATATATATATATATATATATATATATATATATGCTTTTTGAAAATATCAAAATACAGGATCTCACAACAATCTTGCAACATTTATGTCACCTTCACAATGTACACAGATGAGTCGATGCTTCATCAGGGAGGCACAGCCAGAAGTGCTTGGTCACAATTGCAAATGCAGTTTGTCACTCAACTCAACGATGGGCTGCGAGAGTATCAGATTAGTGTATATGTATGTATATATACACAAATGCCTCATTGTATGACATAACGGAGCTTAAAATTTTCCCAACATTAAATGTAAGTTCTTCCCAGCAATAAATTTGAACTATATATAGTAGTGAATAGTGATATTGTCAATTATGCCGAATGTGAATCATTTTTAATTTTATTAAGAAATTGTCACATTTCACACATTCAGTTTTGGGTTCCCTGAAAATTCTCTATACATCTCTAATATAGCGTCTCCACTTCAATTTTATCAATCAAACAATAACTTAAAGCAAATAATTTCATAGCTGTAATATTTCCAAATCATTGTCTATTAACTTGAAGTTTTTTTTACCCAGATTTCTTTCTGCTGTACAACCACTGTGGCACCAATTGCTTTATGTGGTACAAAGAATAAAGACAGAATGCTAAATATAAGAAATCGCCATAGAATGTACATTTGGGTCCATTGCTGCATCCCAACAGAATTCTTGGGATGAAGTAGCGAAATCCTTCAAAAACCCAAAGCTTCACCATCACTTTTCAAGTTTCTGGTACAAATCTGAGAGTGCATGATAGAGAATAGCTGCTGCAGGAGGCCGAGGCAATAGCCCGAGGAGAATATCAGATGCACTTATTGATGGATTACCATAGAATCTGGAATTTTCTTGTGTGCGGGTTGTAACAATGCTCCCTTCAAGGGAGCACCCAACAAATGCACCTGCAAAAAGCAATCAAACTATCATCAAATCATCCACCATAGGATCATCTGGAATTTTCTTGTGTGCTCATCAAATCATGCCATGACAGAATCAAGGACCTGGTGTAACTAATCATTCGAAACAATAAAACCAAGAAAGTATGGCATGCCTGATGATCCTCATCTTCATACAAAGCAGGTGTTGATGGATCACATACATAGTATTTATGTAGCTGACCCCAACAAGTTGGGATTACAGCTTTGTTGGTTTCGAGTATAACGCAATCACTAGAAGGCTACATGCGTAGCCTTAAAAATATGCACTAGTAGTGGATGCTGGTATTGGATTCTTAAATATAACTGACAGCCTGTTCAAGCAGCCACATCTCTACGACAGAAAAGGTAATTCTCTATGACATCCAAATGTTAACAGTTTATATGGCCATAAAAAAACTGTTATTCTGCAGGAAAGAAGAACTTCGTGACAAGGGGGATACTTCACATTCTGGAGTATATTGTCATCTCACAAAAATAAGAGTTAAAATGTTAAAAGAAATATTAACTAAACATAATGGCACACGAATGACATGATCAAAAGTGAAATGGGACACACCATTGTAAGAAACAAGTAGGCAGCCATGTGAAGGATAGATAAATAGGAAATCACAAGGACATCACATAAGGTATGTTTTACGCCGTGCAATTTGCCTTGCCATTGCATTTTTTACTTAATTTGTCCTTTTTTTATTCTCACAAAAAAATACAGATGAAAAATTATTGGAGTTGGCATGAACTACAGACTGACAACATGTAAAGTATATAGACACTGAATATTGACTCTGTCGCAAGAGTTGAGCTATACAGATTAATCTCTTTTTTTAACGGATATTTACAGAGATTTGTGCATCAGTGCACGGCGCTCTTAAAGTGAAAAAAAAAAAATCCAACAGAGCAATCACGAATTCACACTTTCTACACAAGGAAGACATGCAAACCTGTGTGATATTAGTACCCGGTACAAGGAAATACTGTAGCTTTTTTAAAAGAAAAAACTGCGACAATATATACATACAGTTATACAGGTACGGACCCATGTAGAGACCAGTGGGGGCAACCGCCCCCACTGATTTTTTTTTTTTGCATTATGTACCTATAAATTTTGTAAAATTTTGGCAATGCCCCCACTGAAATTATGAAAAAACTTCAATGGCGCCCCTCTCAATAAAGTTTCTGGGTTCGTCACTGCATGTATATATAGGTATATATTCTGTGTGAAAGGTGATACCACTCGAGTTAATCCTCACAGGTAAGACTAGGCAATAATACATAATTTTCAGTCTAAAGCCATTTTTTAACATAAAAAAAAAAGAAAAAAGGAGAAGAAAAAAGAAAAGAAAGAGCCAAAAATTGCAAAGAGAATACTAGCTACCAATCCTATGGGCACAACAAAGAATAATATAAAACTACCATTCACATTTGGGGAAGGAACAAATGCACTAGAAACACAAACTTTTGGAGAAAAAAAAAAGAAACAAACAATCGAAATAAGTACAAGCATGCAAACAGAGAATACATCACAAACTTAATAGTTTAACATCTTCTATTTTTAATGAGATGAAATCCTGATGAACATTATAGCAATATAAAATTCACAAACTAGTGTCACACACATATTGGTAAAATATGGAATAATAAGGAGTCTGCTTTAATCTGATTATTTGGTCTTTAAAGAAATCACACACACAGAGAGAGAGAGAGAGAGAGAGAGAGAGAGAGAGATCCACGATATTTGCCCTAACAGTAATAAGATAAAGGAACATCTAATGCATGGGCAACACAGCCAATTAGAATGTGAGCTAAATTGAGCTTAAACCAAATAAGATTAATCAGAAAATACAATTTATGTTGATTGAGGCGTGGAGAGGTTGCACACACATATTGGTAATATATGGAGTCTGCTTTAATCTGATTATTTGGTCTTTAAAGAAATCACACAGAGAGAGAGAGAGAGAGAGAGAGAGAGAGAGAGATCCACGATATTTGCCCTAACAGTAATAAGATAAAGGAACATCTAATGCATGTGCAACACAGCCAATTAGAATGTGAGCTAAATTGAGCTTAAACCAAATAAGATTAATCAGAAAATACAATTTATGTTGATTGAGGCGTGGAGAGGTTGCCCTGTGGGGGCTCACATTCAGGATGCGTGGAGGGCTACGCCGCTTTGTGTGTGGTGGTGTATTTGGCTTTAGAGTATGAGGAGATATTTTGATGGGAAGGAGATGTTGATTTCGGTGCTTAAATTCTCGATTCTTTCCACTCTTTTTTGTTGGGTTTTAGGGAGAGATCATAGATCTTTAGAGGAGATTGTTGATTTTTTGGCCTCTCTGAAGGCCTAGAGGCCTTTTGTGGTCTTGTGTACTTCTTTGTTTCTGCACCCTTTTTGAGCGCTTCAATATAATTTTGCTTATTAAAAAAAAAAGCTCTATAAAGCATCAAAATGCATAGAACATTTGCCTCTGCTGATATCAATGACATGAATATTATAAATATTGCCCCTTCTCAGAAAGATGTTTATTTAAACAACCATGGTGCAAGTAATCACATCACTGTGATATTCAACAATTAAAAGTCCCAATGAATAACATGTTAAAACTTACATCTGTACAATCCAGCTACATATTCTGAACTAAACGATGCAGTAGCTAAAATTACTCAAGTCCATCAATTAATTTATCTTATCTCAAAGGCATGAAAACCACGAAAAAAAAAAAAAACACACACGCGCGCGGCATGAAAACCACGAAAAAAAAAAAAAAACACACGCGCACGCGCGCGCGCACACACTATTAAAAGGCGTATCAAGACAAAGATGTACCTTTACTGCAGCTGTAAGTGTAGCAAGCAGCATAACCACCATCACCAGCACGTATATCAGCTTCAGCAGCCCTTCCAACAATGCCAACAGCTGCACTCAAACCTGCTCCAACTGAGAAATGCATATTTCCACCAAATGTCTTGACAGCATTATTTGTTCTCAATACAATTATGAAGTCTGTCAGTTCCCCTCCAGCCTGTTCACATTCAAGTGAAAAAAAAAAGTTCACATTTTAAAAATCTACACCCTATTAATGCAAGATACTATTTACAAGTAAATTCATAGGGAGGTTTTAAGAGTTCAGCAAAAAGACTAATGTCTAAAGACGAACCTGGAGTTCATGCATATCATTTAATTATTTCTTTTTTTTTTTTTTCCAGGTTAATTGCAAAACCTTAAAAAGTTCTGTTACTCAAAACTAGCATAAACTTGCATCATCTCCAAGGAGGCATCATGAACATTAAAGTTGTGGAGATTCCTTTCCTTTGAAGTAGCACTATCAAAAGGAATACCCGCCAAAACTAATAATCTTTTGAAAAAAGAAAAAGAAAAAATAATAATCCTCAACTTTCATGTTTTAGCATGCAAATAAAGCAAAAGTACAGAAAGAGATGTAACCCAATTCAAACCATGTCTACGAATTGAGTGAATACATAAAAAGAAAGCAACAAGAGACTTGCCAAAAAATAAAATGATAAACAAGTCGATTTTTTAGGTCAACTGAATAAATTGACTTGAAGTTGCAGCTGACAACGCACCATGTTTCTGTCCTAATCTCTTTCTCTCTAAGGTCAAATATCTCTGTACGACTTCCTTTTTGGTTTATTTAGTCGGACTGTATAGCACTGCTCTATCAAAAAGGGTGAGGAGTGCAACATGGGAGGAGATAGTCCACTATTTTCATCACTCCTAACTACACAAAATTATAAGGAATCACTCACCACCTAGCGAGAAAGGCAAACAGTTATTCTGTTGAAGGCAAGAAATGAGACAACTTCCAAATGCTAGATGACTTGTCCGTTCAATTACATAAACTATCCAGCAAGTCTAAAACATCACAATTCCCAATCCTGAAAGAGATGTTAACATTGACTCTTACTTTCCAGATCCAAATGTAATCATTTAGGTAATGACCACCACATCACCACACACACATAGCTTGCCATTATCATAAAAAACCAGAAAGGCTAGGAAGAATGAGAAAATATGGAAATATTTGTCAAAGGACCATGGTGATCAACTTTATTCAACTAAGGAGAAGCCCACACAAGAAGAGATTCTATGTGTAGAAAACACCCAACAATCTTCCAATGCAAACCATCTTCTCCTCTCCATTTTCTTCAATCAACCCCTCTAGTCAACTTAATTCTTCCTCAAGAATCACCTCCTTTAGAGCCTATGATAATCATTAATCAATCTAAAACAACCAATTTTCTGATTCAAGGAAGCTTTCGCTGCACTCTTGTCTTTTTCCAACTCAATGAACAACAAAGACAGAATATTAAACACAGAAAAGAAGTTAGTAAGCCAGCAAGCAGCCAAAACATGGTGTTAAGCATTGGTGTTAACTTTGGTATACGTGAGCAGTCTTGCGACTTGTACAGCATGACTCAATTAAAACATCACTTGCATTAAAGCTAAAATAGTGCATTAGGAATCCATATAGACAGTGAACTAATTTGAAAATTGTGTGTTTTCATGCCTACCTAACATAGGGACAGAGCACCTCTAATCTAAGTACTTCACTCATTTGAATAATTTGTGTGTTTATCCATGAAAACAAGGAGCAGATTGAGCACATCCTAAAACTGCTAGTGAAGTAATAAAATATTCCTTCCTTGACCCTTCTCATACAAGGCTGAAGGCATACCCATGTGTAGCGCCTGAAGGGTATTACAGACAACTCAAGCGTCCATGCAATGTAAACTACATAACGTTAACACAGAAAAGGAAAAAAAAAAAAATGCTGCACAAAGTTCTGCAAGTCAAATTTCCTGGCAACAATTTTCATTTTAAAAACGTCTTCTTCACAGACAAGCAAATGCGCACGTGGGTGCACACACACCAAAATGTGACTTAGATTCAAAGAAAGTATTTAGCCATTTTGAGGAAGAAAAAAAAACACAATCTTATTGACTATTTCTACAAACCTAAAAAAAATGAACCCATTACTTTTCTGCTCCCAATATGTTTCCTCATTAGCTAGGAAGTTAGATCATATGTTCATACCCATTTCTAGTGGAAAGAGAAGTGTTTCCCATTTCCATCCATTTATTGAAAACATGAAATAAAAAACTAACAAAAGCAACTAGAAGGAGAAATGAACATTTTCCTATCATGTCCTCGAAGTTTAGTATTTGCAGTAGCATAGATAATTTTTTTCACCTGAGCTCCCCAGCCAACGCCAAAGGAAGAAATTGCAGAGGGCGGAGACCAAGATCCATCATCTCTACGAGCAACAACTAGTCCTGTTCCAATGTTATACGTAACCATCATGCCAACCTTTGCAACAGTAAGAATTGCAAGTCCTTTTGCTTGTTTCAAAACAGCATCTGGTATGGACTTTTCAGGTGCCAAAGAACCAACCTGAGTAGTAATGTCCCAATAGTTATGAACCATATAAGAATATAACCTATCAAGTTGAAACTCTTCAAGTTCATATCTGATATGTAATTGAACGCTTATAGGACTTGACAAGAAAATGAAAAACATTTTGAACTCCAAAATTGTGTTTACTGTTAAATTCTATTAATAGCTTATGTAATTAACTGGTTTACAAAGAAGATAGTGGGCATTTTCAGTTCTTCAAGGCAGCTTGTACAAGCTAAGATTAATAAAAATAGCACGGTAGTTTTTCAGAGCACAGAAGTTGGAAACACCTTGAAACAACTGAGTAGAAAATGCACATGTTTGTCGAAAGCTACAAATTTTTTCCATATAATATTATTCAATCGCGGGGATCATTGTATCAAGTCAACATGAACTGGTTCCTGAAAACATTAGGGCAATGGTTTTGTTTTTTCACCTCTTTAATTAAACGTACGGTAACAACTAAATTGAAAGGAGTTAAACACCAGTTTTTGGTAAATATCAAAGAACAAAAAACTTACCTTATTATAACCCCGAAGGGTGTTTGTAGCCTTGTAAATTTCATATTCCATGGACTGGCCCCATGGAAAATTAAGCCATGATCTCAACGTACTGAGGTCTGTCAGATCATGGGTTGGCAACTGTGCAGCACGACTTACTTGGTTCATTAAGTATGACTGGACAGACTCAAGCCGGACACAACAAACATCACAGACTCGTTGTGGGTCCCCTGTGCGGAACTTTGCTGGCAACAAGCTCCTTCCCTTGGAGCACTCATTGCAAAATATCCCTCCACAAAACCTGCAGTGGTGCCTAGAGCACATGATAGGATGGAAACGCACATTACACAGCATGCATGCAGAAGCAGCACTGTCAGCTAACCATTTTGGAGGCTCTGCTTCAAGAATTTCTTTTACATTACCAAAATTAGCTTCTGTAAGAGTTTGAGCCATCTCTTTCCAAGCTTGATTAAGAATATTATTTGATATCCAGGAAATCCTATATCCATGGGCATCCCCGGAAGCAACAGATCTCACTTTCCCCCGAGCCACAAGTAACATATCAAGAACCACATCCCACAAAGTCATCTCCTTCTCTTCTCCAACAAACTGGTTCCAACCCATGTCATCATCAGGGAAGTAACCCCCATTCAAGCAGAAACCTCTACTCCATTCTTCACGTTCAGTTTCTGACATTGGTGGAACAGAGACAGGTATCCAAACCCCAGTTTCTTCAGAAAGTGGTGGGTCATACTGGAAATATTTACTCAGCGTCTGATGACCAGTATCTAAATCATTTTGCACATCATTATTTACCAGAGGGCCTTGAGGTGCCGCAGTTTCATCATCTTTAAGATATATCATTTCTTTGTTTGCAAGGTTAGAGATTGCCGCTACACTAATGTCTTCCCCGTGTTCCTCGACCGCTCCAGAGCCCTGAATACCAGAATCCAGACAATTTGAATTAATATGTAGCTGGATGTTTGAAATAATTTGACAACAAACCTTAGAAAATGTTCACATCCAGTGCAACATCCTTTTTGGTCGCGCAAATCAAGACACAGTGCCCAAACCATGCACAAATCCCAAAAAGTCACCGGATAAACAATTCTACCCAACTGGAAAAATGAATGTATCATGACCCAGCCAACACAGAGAGAGAGAGAGATGCATTAGCCGGAAGGTAGATAATAAGTCAATTACCATCGAATGCTTGAAGCATCTAGGAAAACTTGAAAAGACAAAAAAGAACTAACCACACTAAATCATGCTTGCTCGCAGCCTGACACTCCATGAAATTGACCAACAACTATTATATCTAGGGAGAAGTTTCTGTAACTCATTTATTTTACAAGCGAATCTCTTAATTTCATTTTTGTAAAATAAGTCAAAAACAAAATTTCCAATTTTGGAACTAATTGAGATAACTTCAGAATTTGGAGAAAATTCTGAAATATGCTCACCTCTAAATCGTTCAACTCCAGCTATATAACATCAATACACTCAATTTTGGAATTAATTGAGTAACTTCGGAGTTTGGAGAAAATTCTGAAATATGCACACCTCTAAATCGTTCAACTCCAGCTATATAACATCGACACAATTAACCCTGAGAGAGGTGGAAGAGTTAGTTAAGAACTACGCTTATAAGGTGGAGATCTTGAGTTCAATTCCCCTCCCTTGTGGCCAGCCTCACATGAATTTAAACTAGATTAAAATTGGCACGTGGTATTGGCGCCTGCCATGTGTCTGGAGGGTATTAGTCTCACCCCAAAGATAGGGACACCCCTTCAGTCACTATTGATATGGATTACAGAGGGAGGTGAAAATTCTATCTCGCCCATACAAACTCCAAAACCAACGGCAAATACTTCTTGCGGGAGGATAAATCTTCACCCCTTAGAAGCCAACATATGGCGGCGCATGATAGCCGGAAGCAGGGACGGACCTGTTAAGGGACCAGTGGGGTGCCCCCACTGATTATTTTTTTTATTTACAAAATTACCTATAATTTTTTGTTAAAACCTTAATAATGCCCCCACTCAATTTTTGATAATAACACACTATATATTCTTGTTGTTCAAGGCTGCCCCTCTCCTACAATTTTATGGGTCCTTCACTGGCCAGAAGGGCACAAAAATTCAAGAGGACAACTGTTCCAAATTCAAGAAAATCAAGGAAGTACCAGACCCTCCAGAACTGGTTCCGTAAAGAAAGCGAGGCACAGGCACATCAATTAAGGCATGCTTAAGGTTCACATGGACCTGCTAGATGATCTCAATCTTTCCCATTGTAGGTGGAAATAGCCATTCAAAGGGAGCCTACTATGAGGTGTTGTGTCCGTTTTGGACACCAACACTTCATGGCTACTCCTGGACACGTCTCCAACACTTCATGGTCATGTTCATGTTTAAAAAATAATTTTTATTATTTCAGACAATTGACCAACACATCTCGGACACTTGACCGACACATCTCGACAACATATCCTGCACTCTTCGTCTTATATAAAACAAAGATATGACAGTCCTAAAAACAACATTATGAACATACATCAACGCGTCCAACCTCTTCACCTTTACAAAATTGAGATCAAACACATGTCACAGTATGTAATATGAACAAAAACATAACTAAAATGACAAGATAGGATAGTAATATCATACATTATATATATATATATATATATATATATATATTCAAATAGTTTCACCTTCAAACTTATGTAACTTTAGTATAGAAGACATTTATATTTATATTAGTCGTGTCCACGCCGTGTCCGATTCCTACTTTTTTAGAAATTGACATGACGGTGTATTCATGTCATATCGTATTCGTGTCCATACTTCTTAGGGAGCCTATAATGTAATCTCCCAAGAGATAAACTCCACTTTCCCATCCAAAGTATAAGAATCTCCCAATCACCGTAGATATAAAATACATTCCTTTCCACTTGTTTATTATGCAAGCTAATTTATTCTCTCCGCATAATCCTTCACAGACTTGAGCATTGAACGTTGTTTAATAGGTACACATCAGTGCCTAGTCTCACTCTGTTTTTACTAGAGAACTCATTTGGTTTGCACGGCCATACATGGAACGACAGTGGTGCTAGGAGGTGTGTCAAGCCGCCACAATTTCATCCACAGTTCTTCTTTGCTTTGATATCATTTTTCAATTCTATATATATTTTGTATTTCTTAGTCCCATGCATCTTCCTTGTGTGTTCATTCCTCTGATTATTGTTTGCCAGATTAACCTCAAAAGTAATTTTCTTTCATTGTGACTTCTAGATTCTCATTGTTGAGTATTGGTACACTACCAAATGACATTGTAGTATTGTGACTCATTTTCCAATCAACTGGAACAGTTTCAAGAAGCATATCCTGTTTTGAGCTTGTTTCTACTAAATAGTCAACACAGTTATCTTCTCAACATCTTGACTAAGTTGCAATAGTGTACTGGCCTACAACTGCATATCCTAGTTACAATTTATTCAATGAGTTAAATTTATTATTATCTATATCAACCTAATAGTTTTCACTTCTCATATATGCACTTGGGCAATGGACAGTCTGCAAATTATTCACTATTACCATCCAGAAACATCAATTGAATTCTTTCAGCATAAGCAAATAATATAAATCTAATCAATTTTCTCCGGAACACAACACAGTCGACAATTTCTCAACGTCTTTTGACTTTTAAGTTGTGATAGTGTACTGGCCTACAACTCCATATTCTAGTTACAATATATTCAATGTGTAAAATTTATTTTATTGGGACTTTTAGTATATAAATCTCATCATTTTTCCCCGGAACGCATCAGATACGCATTCTATTAAATTCAAAACTTCCAGGACACATAGGAATCATAACTCAAACTTATACTGAAAGTCCCAATAACAAAGCCTCTTACTTAATTCAAACAATACAATAAATAAGCTTAATTTAGTAAAATAGAGACACACAAGCTTATTTAAAACGAAAAATCAAAACAAATACTGATACTGAATCTCAGATTTTTCATGTATTGAGGCCAAAGGAAATAAAAAAGTTCCCTTTCAAAAATTAAATACTCTTTCATTTTCCTTCGTTTTCTCAGAAACCAAACAGAAGATTGAAATGAAATAAGGGCTTCGTGTAGGGAAGATTAGTTACCGTCTGAAAGCAAATTTCTGGCTCGTAGTCGTCGAATTGGATTTTAGGGTACAGCAGTTTTGCATCCATTGACGATCGAGCCTTGAAGAACTTCCAATCAACTCATCCGAAGGCAAGAAAATGTAATTTTAGAGAGAGAATCAGAAGAGGATATAGGTTTTTGATCCTAATCGTATTTCGAGGTTGAAGGATTTCTAGGTGGCAAAGTAAGGATTACCTTCTCTGGGTTAAATTAATTAAACCAATCATTGGAGAGAGAAAGAGGCGTTTGTGTCAAATTAAAGTAACCATATAAATCGAAATGTATATCAAGACGTCATTTTTTGATAACATAATATAGTAACAATAGATTTTTATTAAAAAATTTAAAACTATTTATAAAAAATTACGGAGTATAAGTTGTGACTAATTTATAAATTCTAAGTTGTTCTCCTTATTAAAATAATTTTACTGATTATATATTTTTCTAAATTAATCAATAAAAATATATTTAAGCATGAAAATTCATCTGAAGAGAAAACAAATTAAAATTATATAACATAAGTCAAAAGTATAAGATTTGGTAGAACTTTTCATAATTTTCTAAGAATTGTATTAATGTTTATCTTTCTCTCTTTCCTTATTACTCACATATTTCCCTCCTTTCTCATTATATATATATATTATCCTATTGAAGAATTTATTAGGAGCGACCAAATTTTTCGAAATCAATTTACGTTATTCTATAACTTAAAATATTTTATACTTTTTTTAATTTTTTATTTTAAAATTATATATTTTGTTTGTGAGTTGTCATTATGTATATTATAAAGTAAGAATACGGATATAAAAATTTTAAAACATGTAAACTAATTCAATGTAAAAAATGAGCTATTAATAAAATTGTTACAACTAATAATCAGATTATAGCAAAAAAACAATTTAGGTGAAAATTTAACAAATAAACAATTAAGTCATTTAAAGGAATTAGAAGGTTATAGGGTGAAAGAAAAAAATATTAATAACTTGATTCATAATGATAATCAAATGTGTAGTAAAAAAAAATCTTTATGAAGAAAAAAAAATGAAGATCTTAATTAAAAATTATATTTTATTCCAACAAATATCTATGACCCTGAAATCTTAGATATTTTTTCAGCTATATATTATATTTGAAAATTACCAAATGGACAAAAGCGTGATAAAAAAATGGCTGGTGTATTCAAAAGATTTAAATTAAATGTTTTATATTTTTATTGCAAGTATTTTAATTCAAATTATAACACAAATTAATTAATTAATGATGAAATTAGAGATTGAAAAACCTACAGTGATAGAATTTAAAAATTACGAAATAACTCATGAGCATATTACTAACATGAACACATAGATAAATTATATTATAAGGTCACTTTAGGTTTTTTTTTTTACCTAAGGTTTCGAATTATATTAATCCGATATAAAGTTGTTGCGTAAACGAAATATGATAAATTGTTATATAATTAGTATGAAGTCAATACGAAGTTGTTGCATAATCGATGTAAAATTATTACGATAAAAAAAAAATATATATATATAGGATCGGAGTTCTACATATCTAGTGCTCTTCATTCACTGAGGCACAGATGTATCAAAAATCAGTCTCATCGATGTGGATGCTGAAAGAAAAATATTGGAAAGGGACCTGAATTTGATAATACTCCTACAAAGCTGCTTTCACAATTGAATTGGGTTTGTAAAGTAAAACCTAATTGTTTTTATCAATCCTAACTGGCGAACGTTTTATATTAATAATGTCGAGTTCAGAACTATTAACTAAGCAATTTGCCAGCCAAAAGACGACAAATGTGATACATTAACAGCATATTATGACAATGACACAATTTAGTACTGTTAATTTGACTCATACATAGATCTTATAATATAATTAAATATCATGAATGAAACATTTTTAACACAAACGACAAACCGAGGGATGTTAAGTACTAAAATATGTATTTTCAACTAAAATAATTGAATAGTAGCCATGTTTATACTACTTTAGTGAATGTGATTCCAAAGCTACAGGGGATCTGAAGTAGAATCTTACTGTCAGAGAAATTTTTTTTTTTATAGATATTTTCAAGAATTGGTAGCATCCATGTTGTCGAATCAAGAGTTAGATAATAAAAAAATATGTGGTAGAATCTTTTTACTAAGAGATACAAATTATGATTAACGAATTAGTATTTCAATCGAAATGTTAGAATAAAGAATCATTATATATATAAATATATATATATTAATAAAAATATGAAGAGTTGGTGACTTTTATGTGTTTCTTGTATAAATAAGTGTCTAGTTGCCTTGTGATTCTTCGGAACTAGGCTCTCTTTTACTCAAGTCCTCAGCTAAAGCATTTGTGACATAGGACTAATGGGAGAGCCAACAAACACCTGGATCAATGAAACACAACCAACAAAGTTAAATCAAGAACACAACTTCTGTGATTTGAAGAGAGTTGAAGGAGGTGTTTATATACTGAATCTCACTGGAGAAATCCAACATAGGTGTGCTTTTTCTGCAAATATCTTTCTAGCATAACATCTTTCAATTTTCTTACTTTTCATAAAATCTGAATAGGTTTACTCCCAAGGCCATACGTTCAATTGATGAATCACTTGATCAGGTACGATTCGCGGACATAACTTATCAAAGAAGTACTCAAACAATCCAACAGTTTGGGCTTCATTAAACATGCTTATGAAAAGTTTTAAGAATTCAGTGCATGTTTGGTTTGTAGATGATGATTATCAAATACCATGTTAACATATAGTATCTAATATTTTTCCCTCTGTGTTTTTTTGATTCCATCTCTCTGTTTTTTTCCCTGTGCAAATCAAATCAAACTGAGTATTGTAATTTATGACCAGTAAAATTTATTGGAATCCAGGTTCTGAGGGATGCAAGTGCATGTGCTTTGATTACCACAAATCAGGTCTGCTCAATATATATATATATATATATATATATATATATTGATATTGTGGGGGATGATTGATGAATGATGCTGATCGACAATCTATTTGTTTATTTTTAAACAAGATTCCTCACATGTTTCTATGCTGTTATATATCATCTATATGTATCTAGATTCTAGACATTGGGTGGTGGTTGATGATGATGGCTAAATTGTTCAAATTATGTCTCGACATTTTATGGATTAATTTGAATATGGAATCAGGGAAATTCTTTTCAAATGGGATGGATGTGGACTACATAAAAGACTGTAATAAACAAGTTGCAACTGTAAGTTTGTTCAAAAGTAGTACTAATTACTTCCTAAAAAATACTAAAAGTTCTCATTTTCTTGGCTTTGGAGTATTGAAACAATCTCACATTGTGCTGTGAGCAGGAATATTTGCAAATGTTTCAGAGGCTTGTAAGCAAGTTGTTAACCTTTTGTCTCCCAACCATAGCAGTTATAAGGTGAACTCTCAATCGAAAACTTCAACAATTTTACAATTATTTTGGCATTTTCAACTCCCTTAAACCAATTATTCAGGTAAGTGGAACTTTATCACTATCCCGAGGTGACGAATTGTTTGCTAGGGCAATATGGCATGGTTCTTGAGAAACCTTCTTTTGTGAGAACAGCCAAACATACCCTTATTCCACAAGAAATGGTTGATTCCAATTAACTCATGCCTTGTCTTTGGATCTTCAAGATGTATTGTAACAAATATGTATGTGTCAACTTGTGATGTAGAGGGCATGCAGTTGGAGCTGGATTTATATTTGCACTGGCTCATGACTACAGACTCATGACCTCAAGCCGTGGCTATATCTTCATGAATGAGGTATGTAGAGACATCCTTAAAATTACGGCGCCAAGAACAACTTTTAGTTCCCCTGCTACATTTCTTAGCATCACCACAATCTGAACTAACCAGGTTTCCCTATTTAGATAGACTTGGGAATGTCCTTGACACCGGGAAATATGGCTGTTCTTCGTTCAAAATTACCTTTATCAACCTTTCAAGAAGCAACACTCACAGGGTACTTCAAATTTGAACACCCTGTCCTTGTCTGTATGGAATTGGAGTTCGTGGAATTGGAGAAAATTTAGTGCAGATTTTCTCTAATTCCACAAATGCCAGTTCTAAGGTTTCAATTCTATACAACCGAACATAGCCTTAGTGTATATATGTTAAATTCTATAATTTGCCTTCACACAGGAAGCACTATGACGGGGAGAGAGCAGCTGCAGCTGGAATTGTTCATGCTACATGTCCCATAGGGCCAAAACTTTTAGAAGAGGGGATAAATATAGGTTCATGAACCTATCTTTTGCATATTAATGGAGCTTAAGTTTGTCATTTTTTAAGTCCTCGTTAACAATGTTTTTCTCCTTGATTTTACTTAAAAGCTATGGAATACAAAGCAAGGAATTGGAAAAGACAGGTTTATTATGCACTGAAAGTAAGCACTTCCTCTCCTTATTGGCATGCAAAAGTTATATGGCAATTGCAATTTAGACATAAGCAAAGAAAGTTCTTATTTTTGCAGATGGAGATGTTCAAAACCACCGTGACAGAGCTTGAAAATGGGGAAATTGGGTTTGCAAGAATGTGATTCTCTTCCCATATATATATATATAGATATATGTATGTATGTATGTTAGAAAAGTAACTCGATAAAATTGGCGTACTCAATTTGAGAGCCTTACTATCATTATATACAAGAAGAAAATTACAAATATGGAAAAAAAAATAAAATCAAATCAGAATAAAGAGAATAAAATCAAATTAGAATAAAAATAAAATTCCTAAACATTAGCCTATAATGAAGACCCAATAAATCTGCCACAATCTTTGAGTCAACTTATAGATATGATTTCCAATACTCCCCTTCAAGCTTAAGCAAATATGTTGACCAAGCCCAGCTTGACTATGGAAGACTGGAGAAGAGAAGGCCCAACAGACTTTGTGAACACATTTGCAGTCTGTTCTGAAGAGGGAACAAAAATAGGATTAATGATACTTGATCGAACCTTCTCTTGAATAAAGTGAATGTCTACCTCAATATGTTTCGACCTTTCATGTAAAACAGAATCGGAAGCAAGCATAATGGCTGATTTATTGTCACAAAACAGCCTTGAAGAACCTTTCTCTACAAGACCCAACTCTCCCAAAATTGATTGAAGCCAAAGGAGCTCACAAGTACCTTGAGCCATAGCTCGGTATTCAGCTTCAGCAGAGGATCTGGAAACAACAGCTTGCTTTTTACTCTTCCATGATATGAGATGATTACCATAGAAAATACAGAAGCCAGAGGTAGAATGTTTATCTGTCTTACATCTAGCATAGTCTGCATTAGTAAAGTATGAGAGTCCAGACTGATTTCCTGAGGCATAGAACAGACCAAGACCAGGGCATGACTTAAGATACCTCAAAATATGGTAGACTACATCCGTATGAGCTGAGCGAGGGGCATGCATGAATTGACTAACTACACTAACAGCAAATGTCAAATCGGGCCTTGTGTTAGTCAAGTAGATAAGACGACCTACTAAACGTTGATACACGGATGGATCTGGAAGTAATTCCCTGACTCAACAGAGAGTTTGAGATTGGGGTCCATAGGAGTAGAAGCGGGTCGACACCTAAGCATGCCAGTATCTTGCGAAGATCCAAAATATATTTCCTTTGAGATAAAGAAATTCCACGACGGGATCTAGCAACCTCAATTCCAAGAAAATATTGAAGAGGACCTAAGTCCTTCACATCAAAGGACTTTTGAAGATGAAGTTTCGCCTGAGTAATCCCTAAAGCATCATCAGCTGTGATAATGATATCATCCACATATACCAATAACATAATGCAGCGACCATCATAGCGACGTCAAATAAAGAAAGTATGGTCTGAGTGGCAGCGCATAAAGCCCATGGATAGAACAACATCGCTGAAACGACTAAACCAAGCTTTAGGAGATTGCTTCAGACCATAAAGAGACTTCCGCAGCCAACAGACTTTCCCAGGATACTCCCCCTCAGCCCGAAATCCAAGGGGTGGATCCATATATATAGTCTTAAGTAAGTCTCCATTAAGAAATGCATTCTTGACATCTAACTGATGCAGAGTCTAAGAATGAGCCGCAAACAAGGAGATAAGTAGTCTCATAGACGTTAACTTTGCCACAGGAGCAAAGGTAACACCAAAGTCTTTGCCCGGAATCTGAGTAAAGCTTTTTGCCACCAACCGAGCCTTATACCGATTAATAGAACCATCGGCTAAGTACTTCACATTAAAGACCCATTTGCAACTAACCGTTTTCTTCCCAGTAGGTTAAGCAACAAGTTCCTATGTATTATTATATTGTAAAACATCCATTTTTATTGTCATGGCAGACAACCAATTGGGATCCTGAAGAGCCTCTGACACTGCTCGAGGAATAGAAACGGTCCTAATCTTGCCCAGGAAGGATTTATATGCACATGAAAGACCATCATAGGAGACATACTGGGAAATAGGGTGGTTAGTGCTACTAGAGAAACCATACTAATTAGGAGGGTGACGATCCCGGGTAGGATAACGGGAGGTTTGCTCAGGAATGGTAGGAGCTATAGGAGAAGGAGAGTTACCTGGACCTGGTTTTGAAGATGATTCTGGCAGGGGAGGTTGAGTACGATGGCGACGAAAGTAGACCTGCAAAGGTGGAGGGGAACCCTGCATGGATGGAGAAGGAGATTCCGGGACAGTGTGGTTTTCAAAGAGAGGAACATGACAGGGCAATAGGAGAAATCTCATTCTCCAGACCACAAGAGAGAGAATCATGTACCACAGAATTAGTACTATAAAAAGGAACAGTTTCAGGAAATGTCACATCAAGAGAATATTACATATGTTTGGCCACAGGATCATAACAACGATAGCCCTTTGATATAGTAGAATACCCCAAGAAAATACACTTAATTGATTTATCATCAAGCTTTTGACGAGAAGGACTACAGTTATGAACAAAACAAGTACAGCCGAAAACATGAGGCAGAAGGTGAAACAATGTATAACCAGGCTGGAGAATCTGAAGTGGGGCCTTACCACCCAAAAGTTGACTGGGAGTATGATTAATCAGAAAGTAGCTGTAAGAACAGCTATGTGCCAATAAAATTTAGGCACATGCATACCACTCAGAAGACATTGGACCACAGACATAATATAACGGTTTTTGCATTCAGCCACGCCATTTTGCTCAGGAGTGTAGAGGCAAGTAAATTAATGTAAAATCCCATTTTTATTAAGTTCATTCCGGAACTTATTTGAAACATATTCACGTTCATCATCGGAACGAATATTACGGACAACAGTGTTATACTGGGTTTTGATCATTTGAAGAAACTGGGTAAATAAAAAAAACACATCAGATTTATTTTTCAATAAATAAACCCAAGTACAACGAGAATAATTATCAATAAATGTTACATAATATCAGCAGTAATTGGGGAAGGGCCCCAAACATTAGAATGAATAAGATCAAACATACTAGAAGCACGACTCATATGAGAAATATAGCTAGTTCTAGTATGTTTAGAAAGCTCACAAACTTCACATTGAAACTTATGGTCCTTACATGTTTTATTTAACGAAGGAAACAATAGACATAGATACTGAAAGTTTACATGCCCCAAATGTGCATGTCACAGACTAAAAGTGCGAAAAGAAACATCATAAACACTAGAAGTAGGTAGGACAAAAGCTTGAAGACTCGTTCATGGTGGTTCCCTAAAGTAGTAAAGCCCATCATGCTCATAACCCCTACCAAAAATCCTCTCCGAACAAAGGTCCTGCAACAAACATTGATCTGGTAAGAATATAACTGCACATTGGAGGTTTTTTGCAAGCCGGCTAATAGATAAAAGGTTAAAGGAAAATTTAGGTACATGAAGGACAGATGAAGGAGTAATATCAGGAGACAGACAAACATCACCCTTACTGTGAATGTAAGATGTAGAGCCATCCGCAAGATACACAGATTGGGTAACAAGTATGACATTGGAAGAAAAAACTAATAACTCACCAGTCATGTGATCATTGGCTCCAGAATCCAGAACCCAAGTGAGCTGCTTGGCCTTAACATGAAATGTAGTAAAAGTACCTGTAGCAATTGTGGCAGTGGGAGCAGCTGAAGGAGCACCAACTCTAGAAGCAAGGGAGCCAAGCTGGTCCTGGATCTGCCCAATTTGAGACTGAAGCTGGCTCAGTCCAGGAAATACAATAGATCTACCAGTAGTAATAGGAGTCCCTGCAACAGCCGCAGTACGAGAAGAACTAGTTCCAGATAAATGGTTCCTAGAAAATTTCTGCTTCAGTTCAGGATGAAGTTTGATGCAATGAGCCTTAACATGTCCTACCCCTCCACAATGGTGACAAATAGTCTAACCTCCAGAAGCACGTGATCCAAAGTTGGCTGCAAAAGCCATACTATCCCCAACAGGCTCAGACATTGGTAGAGGAACAAGTGAGGGCTGAATTAAACGGTGCTTGCGTGCTTCGCCATCAACAGTAGCAAAGGCTTCCAACAGGGATGGCATTGGTGATGCATTCAAGATCTGAGACTTTAGTGGTTCAAATTCTGGGCGTAATCCTATCAAAAACTGATAAGTATGCTGACAATCAAGACGTTTGACAAGAAGAGAGGCTGCCTCGGAAGGAAATTCACTGAGAGGCTCATATTGAGCTAGTTCCTCCTAACGAGATCTCAAATACCCAAAGTAATCAGCTACAGACAAATTCAGGCATTCCTGCGAGGCCTTAGCAATGTCTTGGTATAATTCAAAAATACAAGCATCATTCTTAGAATGAGCATACATTTGATTCAAAGCAGTCCACAAGTCATTAACAAAGTCATAAAACATGAATATATTATAAATGCGTTCCTCCATAGAATTAAACATTCATCCTAAAATGGTGCAATTGTCCATATCACACTGAGCATATTTAAGATCTTTAATATCTGGCATCTTTTCAGTACCCAAAATCCACCCTGATTTGCCTTTTCCACCCACATAGAGGCGGAGGGAACGAGCCCATGATGCAAAATTATGACCATTCAACAGTACACTAGTAACTCGTTGAGCCGGTGTGTGTTGCGCCGAAAAGAGAGTTTATTTATTATTACTTGATTCAGCCATAATATTAAATAGAACAATTCAACAGATCACCAATAATTTCAAATAAAGGAGGAATAAACCTATTTTGATCAAACCAAGAAGCCGGAGACGCGGCGGTCTGATCCAAAAATGCTGCCGAATATCTCGGCAGCCCCAAAAAATTATAAACACGTCTTCTAACCCTTCGTGCATGAAAAAGACTAAGGGAATACCCCTACAACGGTCGAACCTAGAGAAGATTGGCTCCCCCTAGAACTGTCGCAATAGCGGCTTGAAGAAGAGAGTGGGTCTGTAAAGAAAAGGGAAAAAGAAATAGGGAAGGGCTGTGACGAGATAGAGAGAGATCAAAAGAGGCGGTGAGAGTGAGAGAGAGAGAGAGAGAGAGAGAGGAGGGGGGGGGGGGGGGGGGGGTCATAGGTTTGAGGCTCTGATACCAAAATGTAACTTGGTAAAATTGACGTACTCA